TGTTAAAGTTTTAAATTAAAAACTAGACCTATTGTCATTTAAATATCCTTAATTTAAAAAGCAAACTAGCCAGCACATTCAACTTTCCTCAGTCATGAGGAAGCAATAGCCAACACAGGATTCCGCTTGGTGTTAAAGCCTTCTACGATGGATTATTTTCATAAATTATGATGGGAAAATAGGACAAATGAGCTCATATATATAATTCTGGAATTTTTGTCAGTGATGGATGTGTCTTTCCAACCATCCGAACCCCCTTGGGTACGGGCCTGAGAGTTGTTCACCTAATTCTTCATAAATCAGTGTGCTACTACTTTTATCAATAAATATTAGGGTAATGCAAAATTATAAATATTATTATTATTATTATTATTATTATTATCAATACTGTTTAGGATCTATTGCAGAAACTGTGATTAGGGTACTATATAAGGACACATAGTTTAACAGCATTTATTTGACATAAAAATCTTTTGCTACTGCTTTAATTATTGATCGATCACTCAAAAAATTGCTGTTTGTTCAAACTACTTATTTAAAATGAGCTGAACCAAAACAATTCTTGAGTTATTTGAGGGAAAACTTAATTGTTTTATCTTCAATCCACTTAAATTTGTAATAACTAATAAGTTAACTTGATTCCTTTATGTTGTTCCAACACAAATCGACAGTGTGTAAGCCAGCATATTTACAGGGATTAAATGGGACCTTCATCAACTATATTTCTAAATTAAAACATTGTAGGGGAGAGTGAGGATGAAAGTACCAAAGCGATTTTCTGGGCAACATTTGCTTTCCAGGCTATAACAGCACATTCAGCATGCAGCTCGTGATGGTGCTGCCAAATATTAGCTGATTTCAGGATCTTATTATTATATAACAATGTCCCGAATTATAATTCAGATTTTATATATATATATATATATATATATATATATATATATATATATATATATATATATATATACACAGTTGATATATATACAATTGTATATATACATAGTTGTATATATACAATTATGAATTATATTAGCCCCCCTGAATTATTTATTTTTTCCCCCAATTTCTGTTTAATGGAGAGAAGATTTTTTTCATCACATTTCTAAACATAATATTTTTCATAACTCATCTCTAATAACTGATTTATTTTATCTTTGCCATGATGACAGTAAATAATATTAGACTAGATATTCTTCAAGAAACTTCTATACAGCTTAAAGTGACATTTAAAGGCTTAACTAGGTTAATTAGGCTAACCAGGCAGGTTAGGGTAATTAGGCAAGTTATTGTATAATGATAGTTTGTTTTGTTGACAGTCTGAAAAATATAGCTTAAAGGGGCTAATAATTTTGTCCTTAAAATGGTGTTTAAAAAATTTATAACTGCTTATATTCTAGTCTAAATAAAACAAATAAGACTTTCTCTAGAAGAAAAAATATTATCAGACATACTGTAAAAATTTCCTTGCTCTGTTAAACATAATTTGGGAAATATTTAAAAAAGAAAAAAAAAATCAAAGGGGGGCGAATAATTCTGACTTCAACTGTACATATAATTATTATTCTGTTTAGCATCTATTCCAGAAACTGTGATAAATGTTAGGCTACTATATAAGGACGCATCGTAAATTCAGAATAACAGCATTTATTTGACAAAACCTTTTGCCATTGCTTTTATTATTGATTGATCACTCAAAACATTTGCTGTTTGTTCAAACTACTTACTTAAAATGAGCTGAACCAATACAATTCTTAAGATATTTAAGGGACCACTTAATTGTTTTATGTTCAAACCACTTACATTTGTAATAACCAGGGCCAGACAGAGTCTGCGGATGTTTTTTGCTACTTCTGCTGAGAATTTTGGCAAAAATCTGTGGATTTCTGTGGAATTATTTTGGGAGTATCCAGCGGAGTATCATAACTAAAACTTTAATATATTAAATGAAAAGTAATAAATTACTGAATAAAAACTGAATATATTCAGATTTACACATTTACTCAAGTAAATAAACAGAATTAATGATGGGCTAAACATCTGCAGAAATCTGCGGAAAATCTGCGGAATTCTGTGCGTGAAGATTCCGTGTGGGCCTAGTAATAACTAATAAGTTTACTTGATTCCTTCAAGTTGTCCCAACACAAATAGACTGTGCGGATCCCAGCATTCTTTACAGTGAATAAATGGGTCCTTCATCAACTATATTTCTAAATTAAAACATGGTAGGGTAGAGCGAGGACGAAAGTACCAAAGCAATTTTCTGGAAGCCCTGACAACATCTGCTTTCCTGGCAATAACAGCACATTCTGCATGCAGATATGTTTGGAGCTGCCAAATATCAGCTGATTTTGCGACTGTGTCCTGCATTTTTGTCCAAATTTCAGTTTTTAGGTGCAAAAAGTAAATTATTATAGTGGTTCTAATTTCCTTCTCTTTTCATGCATCACAGTAATAATCAATATACAGGTTATTTAGTGCAATAACACATCCTTAAGTTTGCAATGTCCGAGTTTTCCAGTTTAAAAGTAAATAAGATTTAAATATCAAGAGTTCCTGAAACACCGTTTTTTATGTCCCAATTCTCAGATGTTTTATAAAATTACTGCATATTGCCAATAATAATAAACCTTTATAAATTGCAGAAAATGTTAACATTTCGCATTGATGGATTGCTTTTGAAACATTTAATGGAGCTTAAATTTAAAATGAAAATGCAGTATAATATTACTTGCAGAAATAAAGGACAAAATATGTTTGCAGTTAATATTAACAAGGTCATAGTCCGATATATTTAAAATAAACAAGATGAAGTCAGTAAATCTAGCAAAGATTGTGTTACATTTGACCCATCGGTGTGTTACTTTCATGCCTGCTGGTGGGGTGAAGAGGACAAATGTGCAACTTCTGTTTAAAGTGAAGATATATTGGAGTTGTTCTACATCGATACAAAATAAAACCTGCTTTTTATAGAGCACTCTTATGACTTAGTAACCACAGCAAAAATATAGTTCTGCTAAAATGTTATGTTTTAAAATTAAGTTTTTATGAAAAATGGTACTTTCGTCCTTGCTCTCCCCCTCCTTTTTAAAAAAATATTTATACAAAATGAAATCTTTTGGCATTACTTTTATCAATTAAACAAGCCCTTAATTATATTCATAAAAATGATGCATGGTACGCTTGAATGGAAATACAGTTTTGACGAAAACATGAAGCAGCTCAACTCTCTCAACATTCATTCGTTCATTTTCTTGTCGGCTTAGTCTCTTTATTAATCCGGGGTCGCCACAGCGGAATGAACCGCCAACTTATTCAGCACATTTTTACGCAGCGGATGCCCTTCCAGCTGCAACCCATCTCTGGGAATAACTCTGTCAACAGTGATATTCAAGTTGATCCACAAATCATCAAATAATGCAGGCCTGTAGATCTTTACCTCTAAAAGTGGACCCTTTGCAGCTACTTGTCTCATTTGCTATTAAATTAAGAGGTTCAAATACTGCATTTTAGTGACATTTTAAGCACTAATTTTTGCTGGATTAACTTGTCGGATGGTTATCATCATCACACTTTTTTGAGCAATGTCAAAGTGGCTATCATACTATTTTATGTTTACAAAAATTATGTTTAATTACAAATGTGCATTTAAACTGTAAGTTATTACAGTTTTATAAATAATGTAATGAGATAAAAAATTTAGAAATATGAAAAACATATTTTTTAAAACGCCAATTTCTTATCATCCATCATAAAACAAACAAACAATTAGGAATCTGTTCAAACTTGTTTTAAATTAAAAACTGTAGCCTATAGGAAAATAAACTGGCCAGCTTGTTTGCTCGCTCAGAATTTGTCCATTTAAATAAAAATTAATAATTAAAATAATTCTCCAATTGGTTATTTTCACAGTTTATAATGGCATACTGTCAAAAATGGGACAAATGAGCTCATATAGAGGCCAAATTATGGACTTTATTAGAAGGGTCTTTCGAACCACCCGAACCCCTCTGGCTACAAGCCAGTTATAATGATTTCTGAAGGATTATATGACACTGAAAACTGGAGTAATTATGCTGAAAATCCAGCTTTACATCACTGCAATTATAACTACATTCAATATTTTTAAAAATGCTTTGAAATGAAATAATAATTCATGATAGTTCTGTTTTAATTGTGTTGTAGCTAAGAGAAACGCAGCCTTAGTGAGCAGAAGAGACTTCTTTCAAAACTATTTAAAGTAATATGTTTCCAAACTTTTCCAAAGAGCACATAATAATAATAATATCTGACTGTGAATGTAAAAACTTAAGCTTACTTTGCACGTTTGAAGACGTTTCAGTATTTTTGAATGATGCTTGAAGAAATAAATATTATATTTTAATATAAGGGTGTAGCAAATTTCTTTTAGCATGCTAACTTGTTTTGTTTCTTTGAGTACACATATATAGGTAGACTTGATAAGACATGCATTAGCCTGATTAATTTCTGAAATAGGCTATGTTTATTAAAATTATGTTGAGATGTTGGTAAATATCACCATCTAGTGGGCAGTAAGGAGCAACCAGATCAACAGCAGTTTATACTTACTAATCGTTCAGGTGAAATAAAAATAAAAACTATCATTAGATAGTTTTATCTCTATTAGTGGCATCTTCCGAAGAGCTTTTGAATATTTGAGTATTATATAACACTTATACACGATTTAGTTCTTAAGTTATATACTTAAAACGCCGATTGTGGTCGAAAATAGGGTCTAAAGAACACATTTAGTTTGTACTGTTTACACATGGCTACCGCACACCCTAACTCAAGCAGCTGAAATACAGTGTTTCCCACAGTTACAGTAACGTTACGTACACTTGGAAAAGTCCTGACCGGAAAGTGAATCACTGAGCAAGAAAGTGATTTCCTATTTCAGAGATGTTGAGAAACACAACAGAAATGAAAAGAGAGAGGACGAAGGAAGAGCTCATAATCGCCGTAAGGAGCTTAGTAGTTAATTGAACTCTGCGTGGGTCGTCATGTTGCGTTATTGAAACTCCTTATTGTTTTCGCGCCATAACAAGGCTTAGGAAAACGCTGTATGGATAGATGATCCGGTAAGACGCTTTATTATTGCTCGATTTTTAGTCTTTAACTTCAGATATGATAATAATTTAATCACAATGTTGGCCAGGACGCTATTGTGAAATAGGTTTTTAATGTTAAGGTGATTTTTTCCTGGTAAACAAAGGCTGTAGTAATACTAGGTAAATCTGAAGTAAACTGTAAATATTTTATCGCTTAAAAAGAATATTCCCACATTAAAAAAGTTATTTTCAGTAAATGCTAGTGTTTTTGAACCATACTGAAGTGTATTTAGCATTTACAACTCTGTTAATGAATGCTACAGTATACTTTTGTGAACTGATAGACTATAATACTTTTTTAAAAAGTTTTACTACAGTAAACTGTGGTTTATTGCAGTATAATATATCCTATAGTTGAAAAGTACAGTATTGGGTGATTTGTTTATATTACTTTAGCGTTTGTGTAGTATCTAGTAACTACATAACACTACAGTATTTACTTTAAATTACCATTACAATAAGGTCGTATTAGTTAAATGTCAATGTATTAACATGAACAATACATTATTTATCTTTGTTAATATTTGTTAATGAATATAAAGTTGTTCATGGTTTGTTCATGTTTACTCGGTGCATTATCTAATATTAAAAAGTATGCAATTGGATTTTAACAATGCATTAGTAACTATAGCATTACCGCAACAGATTCAGTTAAATACTTTAGTATGATTTAATAACATAACTCTGTAGTATTTATCTTAAATTACTATTACAATAAGGTTGCAGTAGTTAAATATCAATGTATTATCATGACCAAACGATAAACAATACATTTATTACGGTATTCATCTTTGTTAAGCTTAGTTAATGAATATAAAGTTGTTCATTGTATGTTCATGTTAACTTAATGCATTAGCTAATGTTAACAAGCATGCATTTGGATTTTAATAATGCATTAGTAACTATAGCATTACCACAACAGATTCATTCAAATACTTTACTATAGTATGATTCAACAACACAACACTATAGTATTTATTTTAAATTAACATTACAATAAGGTTATATTAGTTAATGTCAATATCTTAACATGAACAAACGGTAAACAATACATTTATTACAGTATTCATCTTTGTTAATGCTAATTAATGTTCTTTAATGTTGCTTAGTTCATGTTAACTGTGCATTAACTGTTACTAAGCATACATTTGGATTTTAATAATGCATTAGTAAATGTTAAACTATGATGATTTATGAACGTTGTACAAATATCGTTAATTATTAGTTAATGCACGAACATTAACTAATGAAACATTACTGTGAGGTAGTTTTTCATGTGGGTTATGTGTGTGTGTTGCAGCTTTTCTTTTAAAGCCACCAAACCTTGAACTTGTTAAGCAAACAAAATAATATCCCTGTTTGACAAATATTTTAACTGTAAAATGCATGTGATTTTTTTTTGTTTCCAGTGCTCACAGAATGGGATATACATTCATACTGATCCTTTTTGGATTGTGCCTGAACACTGAAGTCGTGAAAAGCACCTCCGAGTGTTCAGTTATCGGCTATAATGCCATCTGCATAAACAGAGGTCTTCATCAGGTGCCAGAGCTGCCCGCGCATGTCAATTATGTGGATCTGAGTTTAAACAGCATCGCTGAACTCAACGAAACATCTTTTTCTCGTCTTCAAGATTTACAATTCCTCAAAGTGGAGCAACAAACACCAGGACTCGTGATCAGAAACAACACGTTTAGAGGACTCTCCAGTCTAATAATACTTAAATTAGACTACAACCAATTCCTACAATTAGAGACGGGCGCGTTTAATGGATTAGCAAACCTTGAAGTGCTCACTCTCACGCAGTGTAATTTAGATGGTGCTGTTTTGTCTGGTAACTTCTTCAAACCTCTGACATCTCTTGAGATGCTTGTCTTGCGTGATAACAACATTAAAAAAATCCAGCCAGCTTCATTCTTCCTTAATATGAGGCGATTTCATGTGCTGGATCTGACTTTCAACAAAGTGAAGAGCATCTGTGAGGAAGACCTCCTGAACTTTCAGGGTAAACATTTCACACTCCTCAGACTGTCCTCCATAACACTGCAAGACATGAATGAGTACTGGTTAGGATGGGAGAAATGTGGAAACCCATTTAAGAATACTTCAATAACCACATTGGATCTATCTGGAAACGGCTTTAAAGAGTCAATGGCGAAGCGTTTTTTTGATGCAATCGCTGGTACCAAAATCCAAAGTCTCATTCTCAGTAATAGTTACAATATGGGGAGTTCATTTGGACATACCAATTTTAAGGATCCAGACAATTTTACATTCAAGGGTCTTGAAGCGAGTGGTGTTAAGACTTGTGATTTATCCAAATCAAAAATCTTTGCTCTGCTGAAATCAGTATTTAGTCATTTCACAGACCTAGAACAACTGACCTTGGCGCAAAATGAGATCAACAAGATTGACGATAACGCATTTTGGGGTTTGACACATTTGCTAAAGCTAAACCTGTCCCAAAATTTCCTCGGTAGCATCGATTCGAGAATGTTTGAAAATCTTGACAAACTTGAGGTGCTCGATTTGTCTTATAACCATATAAGGGCTCTTGGAGATCAATCGTTTCTGGGACTCCCAAACTTACGCAAATTAAACTTAACAGGAAACGCTGTGGAGTCAGTCCATACATTTGCTGCCTTACCAAACCTGAACAAACTCTACTTGGGTAAAAACAGAATTTCATCTGTGTCTAGTTTACCCAACATCGCACACAATCTTTCAACACTTGACCTGGAATTTAACAAACTACACGCCTTGTCAGATTTGTACACAATATTACGAGAATTTCCTCAAATAGAAAATATATTTCTTCAAGGTAACACCTTCTCAAGCTGTTATAATCAAAAACAGATAGTGCTTTCAGACAAACTTCAACTCCTCCATCTTGGGCTTTCAAGTATGCAGCTGATCTGGTCAGAAGGAAAATGTTTAAACGTGTTTGCCGATCTTCACCAGTTACAGCAGCTGTCTCTGACCGCCAATGGACTGCAGTCACTTCCCAAAGACATCTTCAAAGACCTTACATCTCTGTTCTTTTTAGATTTGTCTTTCAACTCTTTGAAATACCTTCCCACTGATGTATTCCCCAAAAGTCTTCAAATTCTTAATCTCGACTATAATTCAATTTATTCAGTAGATCCGAATCTCTTCAGCACCCTCAGCTACCTCAGCCTGATGAATAACGATTTCCGATGTGATTGTGACTTGAAGGATTTCCAAACATGGCTAAATCAAACCAACGTAACCTTCGTTCACCCTATTGAGGATGTGACGTGTGCCAGTCCTGAGGATCAGTACATGGTTCCGGTTGTAAAATCCAGTATACAATGTGAGAATGAAGAGGAGGAGAGAAGAACTGAAAAACTAAGACTTGTGCTTTTTATTGTCTGCACTGTATTGATTATATTATTCACCGCCAGCACCATTGTTTACATTAGTCGACGCGGTGTCATCTTTAAGATGTACAAAAAACTAATTGGCGAACTTGTGGATGGAAAGCGTGAGGAGCCTGATCCTGATAGATTTTTGTACGATGTGTACCTGTGTTTCAGTTCTAAAGACATGAAGTGGGTAGAAAGAGCGTTGTTGAAGAGGCTGGACTCTCAGTTTTCAGAGCACAACACACTCCGCTGCTGCTTCGAGGAGCGAGACTTCATCCCCGGGGAGGACCATCTTACCAATATGAGAAGTGCCATCCAGAATAGTCGAAAAACCATTTGCGTGGTGTCTGAACACTTCCTGAAGGACGGCTGGTGTCTAGAAACATTCACCCTGGCACAAAAAAGGATGCAAGCAGAGCTTGAGGACATTCTGGTGGTGCTTGTTGTAGGAAACATACCGCAGTACAGGTTACTGAAGTACAAACAAGTGAGATCCTTCATTGAGAACAGAAGTTACCTCGTGTGGCCTGATGACTGTCAAGACTTGGAGTGGTTTTATGACCAACTTCTGCACAAGATAAGAAAAGATATCAAGATTAATCAAACGACCAAAGAAATAAAGCGTGAGGAAGCCAATTTCAACACCAACACAGCAGTATAATCATGGTAGACTTATTATACATTTAGTATGTTTTTCATTACAGTTTTAGAATTTACCTACACTGTAAACCATAATGTTGTCTTTACTTAAACAAATCAAGTAAAGTTGACTGAACATTACTAAAAATTTAGCATTTTGATCATGTCACCTAAAAATACAAATTAATTTAACTTATATACCATGAAAATGCATAAACTTAAGATTTCAAGTATACTAAGCTCAAAATCACAAATAATCCTTTGAAAAATAAGGTTGTTTTTAATGTAGTCTTGACTGTAATTCTAATATGTGCAATTTTTTAATGCAAGTTCTTTTTTTAAATTAGAAAACAAGGCTTTATGTATTATTATTCACCATAAAAGGAATAAATGGTTACTTATTTTTCTTTTAAGCATTTTTTTCATAGTGTATAATTACACACACAGAACTGATCAATTTAAGTATAATCAAAACAGCAAGTTAAATAAACTTAAATACGCAAGTTTTGGGAGATTTCGTTACTCAATTAAATTGAGGCAAAGAGCTTACTCAAATAATTTCATTCAGTCAACTTATTATGGTTTTCAGTGTTCTCGAATGAGTGTTTTAAAAGGTTATAATGGAATTTACTACATTACATGTTTGTTTCAAACCCAAACTATTTTCAAACACCTGTGTGATTGTGACCCTGCCAAATAAACTTCCAAATAAGGTCAATTGAAAACTCAGCCTGTTTGTAAACACAGTCCGTCTCTCCCATAAAAGTCGACTGGGGAATAGGCATTGCTGTGCACTCTGTCGTTAACCTTACTTCCTCCATACAAGCAATATTGTGAAAACTGAAACCACTACTGAAAGCACTGCAAGATGTCACAATATGCACACTTGGCTAATAACAACTGTACATTGATGATGTAATAATTATATAAAAAATACTCAGTATTGAGTAATTGTGTCAACTAAGTGCTGGCCTGTGTATCTTGAACAGTTTAGAAATAGCAATCAAAGATCTAAACACAGTGCTCAGCATATATAAGCACACCCCTCACAAATTTCCCTTAAATAATTTTTTAATAGGAAGCTATACGATATTATATTTGTGCATATATATTAGTCAGTATTGAAGCCAATATCTGGAGCTTATCTTACAAAATAACTCCAAAAACTAGTACAACAAATTATATGTTATAGAAAAATATCAAATACAAGTTTAAAAATCAAGAGAAGCAATAATAAATTATTTAGTTAAGATTTTGTAGGTTGTAATTATTTATGCAATATTTAGCTTGAATTTAATTGCATTATCTTTTTAATATCTAAATATGTTTGGTGACTAAAGTATTATTTTCATTAATATATCTGTTTAATAAATGTTTTATTTAGATGCACCAAAATACATTGCCTATATTGACTGAGAAATGGATAAGCATTCATTTTCAAAATGGGCTGTACTCAATCATGCTGAGCACTGTATGTAATATTGAATACAATTTTCTCAATTCAGAAAACTAAAAGTACATGTTGTTCCTTCAAAAACTTACTGAATGTATCTTTGGTTGACCTCACATTGCCATCTGCCCTCATTTCCTGTTATGATCCCTTCATTTTAATAGGGAACTCTGAGAAAAGACAACATTGCAAAGTTAATATTAGCATTCTGCATTATGCTCCATGTGTACAGAAAGCAATCTTTCAGTGACATCTTGTGCAAAGATAGCTGTCCAAACAGCCTTTAAACTCACCTTCTGTTTTCGTGAAGCAAGCTGAGGTCAGAGATTTAAACATTTGCTACTAAATAAAGAAGCTCAGATTTTCATAGATAGATAGAACCTCCTTGCGAACTGTAATTGCGACCACAAGTAGTACTTTTATTGTACTTAAAAAAATATTTATTTTTGACACTTGTAACGTTAAGAACAGGTTCTTCAGCCACACACAGGAACTTGGTTTCAAAATATCCCCAGATTAAGTTGGGTTGTTATGCAATCAAAAACCAAAGCTTTCTTTGTGTCGACTTGCATAGTTACACAATTTCATTTCTTCCTGCATGGTGTTGAATGATGATTATAGTCTATTGTTTTTAATAACTGAACATGAACATTTTCATTACATACAGCAATATATGTAAAAACACGTTCAAGATTTTTTAAAAGTTTGTGTTTATATTTGATTTTTTAGTTTCACATAATTTAATTGACCACTTGTTTTCACAGGTAAGTCAGTTAACTATTTAACTGCCTGCTCTACCTATGGTTGACCATATTTTGACTGTTTTAAATAATGACTGTTTTTATTAATGGTTTACACAGCATTTTTGGTTTACAAAACAAATAAATAAATAAATACTTTTTTTTTAATTAAACATAATCCTGTTGCACTACTACACTTGATTTTGGTTTTATTGAGAAAAAAAAAACATGTTAAATGAAAATCTAAAATATTTTATGGCAAACCTCAAAAAATAAAGATAATTTAGTATTCAAAATGTTTTATCTTGATTATGTTTTTGTATAAATTGGTCTTATACTTTCTGATTGCCATAGTAAATGCAATAATTGCAGTACTTTTACAATAAACCGACATTTCGACTATTTGGTAGAGGCTGATGTATTAGAAATTATGGGATATCTTGAAAGAAAGTGCATTGAGTGTGTTAACTAGCGACATTAGGGGTTAAATGCAATCCAAACATGTTTTCCTGGGGCAGTTAAAAAAACTAGTTTTTAAAAAGCAACGTTTTTAAAAAACCGTTAATATTTAAATTAGTATCAACATTTATGCGTAGCTACACGACAAATTTAATCCTTTGTCTCCATAGGATGGCAAGGTTGTCTATTTATTAGACTGGTAAGACAACAAAAATGACAGCAACATTCGCTGTTCTTTATATTGTTTTATAATGATATAAAAGTGCATATTTTAGCTCTGATTGCTCGTGTGTACTGCATACTGCAGCTTGCAGTCTTACCGCGCGGGTTGAGCAGTGTTTGTTTGGGTGAGGTGAAAACGAAAAAAAGGCTTGTAAATGTTCTGAATCTCTCACAAATCCGTGATTGTTTGCTTACTCGCACTTGAAGAATCCCTAACCGGAAAATGAGTCACAGGGTCAGAAAGTTATTTCCTATTTCAGAAAAGTTGGGAAACAGACCAAACGAAGGAAGAGAGAACAAGAGAAACCCGCGCACATCTGTGAAGTATTCAGTATCAAATGACTGCAGAAACGGATAAACAGGGCAACACGATGGATTAATGGGCGAACAGGTAAGACGCTAAACTATTATTAGATTGTTATTAAATAAACCTTGTTGTAAAGATCTCAAATTACTGCTCGTGTCAGCAGTGGTAAGATCTCATGAACCAAGTTTAAATTAGAAACATGTTTTTCCCCCTTATTGAACGTGTAGTCACTGAACCTTGAACTAGTTGGCAAACAATTAGTAAGATAAACTAGTTAAACAGAAGCAGCTGAATGCGGACATCTTAAATGTATTTTGTATTAATTCCTGGAGGTTTTAACTATATTTATGATGTATTTTATATTTGTTTCTGACCTCGCTGTGTGAGCAGAAACAGACATTTTATTAATAAATATAGACACAAACAAATGCCACAAAAAGTAAATAACATCACGTTCTGCTGCCAAGCACATAAGCAAAAATACTTGAATATTAATAACAAATAAAAACTGTAGGGTGAATCTTTTTAACCTTCATTTTTATAACACATTTATTTTCTACAGAGATTCCAGAATGGCAGCTACATACACTTTATTTCTGATGCTATTATTCATTTGGACTCCAACAGTGAAATCCACCTCAGTGTGTTCAACTGATGGCTACTTCGCTTTCTGCATGGACAGAGGTCTTCAAGAGGTGCCAAAGATTTCCACTTACATAACTAACGTGGATTTGAGTAAAAACAGAATTGCTGAACTCAATGAAACATCCTTTTCTCATTTGGAAGCTCTAGAAGTCCTCATCCTGATGCACCAAACACCAGGTCTTGTGATCCGGCGCAATTCATTCATGAGGCTCTCTAATTTAACATCACTTCAGCTAGACTACAACCACCACCTGCGAATAGATGCAGGAGCATTTAATGGATTATCCGACCTTAAAAATCTCACTCTCACTCAATGCGGTTTAGATGACTCCCTACTGTCTGGTAACTTCCTCAAACCTCTGATGTCTCTTGAGATGCTTGATTTAAGTCGTAACAACATTCGGAGAGTCCAACCGGCGTCTTTCTTTTTAAATATGAGGCGATTTCATGTGCTGGATCTGACTTTCAACAAAGTGAAGAGCATCTGTGAGGAAGACCTCCTGAACTTTCAGGGTAAACATTTCACACTCCTCAGACTGTCCTCTATAACACTGCAAGACATGAATGAGTACTGGTTAGGATGGGAGAAATGTGGAAACCCATTTAAGAATACTTCAATAACCACATTGGATCTATCTGGAAACGGCTTTAACGTTGACATGGCTAAGAGATTTTTTGATGCTATCTCCAGTACCAAAATCCAAAGTCTCATCATCAGTAACACTTACAGAATCGGCAAATCTTCTGGCGATAATTCGAAAGATCCAGACAAATCGACATTCAGTGGTCTTAAGTCGAGCGGTATTAAGAGTTTTGATCTGTCCAATTCAAGCATTTTTTCTCTCACATATTCTGTATTTAGTTATCTGTCAGATCTAGAACAAATCACATTAGCAGAAAGTCAGATCAACAAGATTGAAAACAACGCATTTTTGGGTATGACAAACTTGCTAAAGCTAAACCTGTCCAAAAACTTCCTCGGCTACATTGATTTTAGGACATTTCAGAATCTCAAGGGACTCGAGGTGCTTGATTTGTCTTACAATCATATTTGGAGACTTGGGTCTCAGTCATTTCAAGGTCTTCCAAATCTACTCAGTCTAAACCTAACAGGAAATTCTCTTGGACATGTATACACATTCGCAACTCTGCCGAAGTTGGAAAAGCTCTACTTAGGAGACAACAACATTCAGTATGTGTACGAAATACCCAACATAGCCAAACATCTCAAAACCCTTGACTTGCAGTTTAACCAAATAGCATCCATGTCAGAGCTCTACACAATACTAGATGAATTTCCTCAAATTGAGGAAGTAGTTTTTCGAGGAAATCAGCTTCTTTATTGCCCTCAAGACAACCATGAAGTGTTATCACAAAACATACAAGTCCTCGATCTATCATTTGCAGGTTTGCAAGTAATCTGGTCAGAAGGAAAATGTTTAAACGTGTTTGACGATCTTCACCAGCTAGAAGTGCTTCATTTGAGTTCCAACTTGCTGCAGTCACTTCCCAAAGACATCTTCAAAGACCTTACATCTTTGCTCATTCTGGATTTGTCTTTCAACTCTTTGAAATACCTCCCCACTGATGTATTCCCCAAAACTCTTCAAGTACTTCATCTTGACTATAATTCGATTTATTCAGTAGATCCAAATCTCTTCAGCACCCTCAGCTACCTCAGCCTGATGAATAACGATTTCCGATGTGATTGTGACTTGAAGGATTTCCAAACATGGCTAAATCAAACCAACATAACCTTCGTTCACTCTATTGAGGATGTGACGTGTGCCAGTCCTGAGGATCAGTACATGGTTCCGGTTGTGAGTTCCAGCATACAATGTGAGGATGAAGAGGAGGAGAGAAGAACTGAAAAACTAAGACTTGTGCTTTTTATTTCCTGCACTGTATTGATTATATTATTCAGCGCCAGCACCATTGTTTACATCAGTCGACGCGGTGTCATCTTCAAGATATACAAAAAACTAATTGGCAAATTTGACAATAAACCTCAAGAGGAACCTGATGCAAATGGATTTTTGTACGATGTGTACCTGTGTTTCAGTTCCAGAGACATGAAGTGGGTAGAAAGAGCGTTGTTGAAGAGGCTGGACTCTCAGTTTTCAGAGCACAACACACTCCGCTGCTGCTTCGAGGAGCGAGACTTCATCCCCGGGGAGGACCATCTTACCAATATGAGAAATGCCATCCAGCATAGTCGAAAAACCATTTGCGTGGTGTCTAAACACTTTCTGAAGGACGGCTGGTGTCTAGAAACATTCACCCTGGCACAATGTAGGATGCTAGTGGAGCTTAAGGACATTCTGGTGGTGCTGGTTGTAGGAAACATACCGCAGTACAGGTTATTAAAGTATGAACAACTGAGATCCTTCATTGAGAACAGAAGTTACCTCGTGTGGCCTGATGACGGTCAAGACTTGGAGTGGTTTTATGACCAACTTCTGCACAAGATAATCAGAAACACCAAGGTTAAACAAACAAACATTAAAGAAAAAGACAAGGTGGATGAAAACAATCCTGAAGCAGCAGATGTTCAAGCAGACACTGCAGTTTAACTATGGTGTTTTTCCTTCACTTTCGTCAATTGGTGAAGTTGGTTCCTTGCTACTGGATTGCTTGGTTTGGGACTTGTGGAGCTGTGCATAGATTTGGACTTTCACCAGTAAAATTAAACCACCCAGAACTGAACTTCAACTCTGAAAACTGGACTGACACTTTCAACTTACTAGAACTTCTATGTTCTATGTTAAGCTGCTTTGGCACAATCTACATTGTAAAAGCACTAGAGAAATAAACAATAATTAAGTTATGAAGTACAGCGGTACAAATGCTTTTACAGATCCCTTGTTTTGTTTCCGGAGATGTTCTCATTTGTCCAGCTGTTAACCTTCTCTGTTTTGGACACTGGCATCAAAAATAATGAAGTATAAAAATTCCAAATCTCGTATTAATTACTCGCCTTCATGTTGTTCCAGTTCCCTGAGGCCTTCATAATAATAATAATAATAATATATTTTATTTATAACACGCTTTTCTAAAACCCAAAGCGCTTACAAGAAAGTAAAAACAGCAAAGCACAGTAACCAATAATAAATACAATAAAAACAGTAAGAATAAAAGATAGCATTAATTAAAAACAGACCTAAAAAGATGAGGTTTAAGTAGCTCTTTAAAAGTGTCCTATGAACCGACATTCCTAATGTTAGTGGGAAGAGCATTCCACAGTTTGGGAGCACGGAAAGAGAATGCCCTACCTCCCATGGTGCTGAGTTTGCAGCGAGGCTGAAGACCCGAGGCAGAGCGTAGACAGCGAGAGGCAGAGGAAACGGATATCAGGTCACAAACGTAACCTGGAGCAGAACCATGAACCGGCTTATGTGTTAAAATCAATGTCTTAAAATCAATACAAGAGGAGTGATGTGCGGCCGAGACGATGTATGTGTCAACACACGTGCAGCAGAATTTTTGATGTTTTGCTCAATTTTGAGAGAATTTGCTGGTGACCCTCCGAACAAGGAATTGCAAAAATCCAAGCGAGACGTGATAAAAGCATGGACGAGTCTTTCAGCATCAGGCCTCGAGAGGAAAGGACGTAAGTGGGCTATATTACGAAGATGATAGAAGGCCGTTTTAGTTACATGTTTAAAATAGGGCTTCAGACTAAGCTGAGAGTCCAGGAGAACACCGAGATTACGCACCTGCGGAGATGGTGATAAGACAGACCGATCAACCGTTAACTCAAATTCACTACACCTCTTGACGTAAGGAGGAGTGCCAACCAATAAAATCTCTGTTTTAGTACTATGCAGTTTAAGATTATTATGTTGCATCTGAGCTTTAATTTCAGTTAAGCAAGCGTTAAGTGATGACATTGATGCCGATAATATTGGGAGAAGTGTTAATATAGATCTATGTGTCATCGGCATAACAATGATATCTAATCCCAAATTTTTGCAAAATTTGACCAAGAGGCAACATATAAATGCTAAATAGAAGTGGACCAAGTACTGACCCTTGGAGGACACCATGACATAAAGGAACAAATACATCCTCTCCCGCGTCCTGTCCAAACATGTTCAAAAGTCATTCAGCTTTTGAACACAAAAAATAAGATATTAGATGAAATCTGAGAGCTCTCTTATCCTCCATAGACAGCAAGGGTCCAGAGACATTGAAGAAAAGGAAGTCTAGAAGAAGGAACTAAATCAAAACACTGCACGTACCTTCAGTGGTATAAACTATATTAAAATGAAGCTTCAAGAACACTTTTGCGCACCAAAGAAACTGTAAAAGTGAGTTAAACAGTTATTCTGTCATTCAGAGTTCATATAAAAGTCAAAAACACATTTTTTTTGTGTTTTAGGTTTATACGCAAATAGAGAAAGTGAAACCAGTTGTGCTTTTAGACGCCCTCATAAACAACAATAGAGGACATACAGCAGATCATGTTCTTCTTAATAGTATGTGGCTGTTTGTGACAAGACGACAAGGTTTGTTTGAGTTTGGGTAGACCATGGTTTACTGCTTCGTGGCGCAGGCCTGTGCAGAGATTGTCCAAAGGGCATGTGCAGGATCATTTTTTTGATGAGGGGGTGTGGGGGGTTGCTGGGGTTGGATGTTGTCGTTGTCGCTGGGGCACTTTTGATCATTTTGGAAGGGCACTTTCTATCCAAGACTAAAAGGGCATGTGCACTGCACAGGTTGAGCCCTATGTGTGCATGTGCCTGTCGTGGCGTCACAGTATTAAAATGTATATAGCCATGTTATCAACTGTGTATTTAAAAATGGCGCTTCCCATGTTGTCATTTCCTTTATTTGTAGTAGACACTGGTGATAATTCTCTGTATACCAATAGCATGCAGCAGCGAGTCTAAGCCCACACTCTTGGTACCATTCTGCTGTGCTAGGTACCCTTTGGAACTGGTGTCAAAAGCTGGTATGGTACGGATCACTTTTTTTGGCACTTTTGACAATGGAAATGGATATAAATGCATACAGTACTGTACCGAACTACCAGTATCAGTAGAAATGCACCAGTAGAGTCAGCAGTGCAACATGCAAGCGTCATATTGCCCACAGTAAATGCACACTCTAATCTCACAAGGAAGACATGGGTGAACAAACTTGTTATTAGAGTTTCTGGTGCACAAAAGTGTTCTTGGAGATTCATATGATTACAGTTAGATTACTTAAGTCGTGTGGGATGTACTGACAATTTGATTAGTTACCTGAGCATCTCAGGACCCATGCTGTCTATGGAGGATGAGAGAGCTCCTGGATTTCAACTAAAATATCTTAATTTGTGTTATGAGGATGGATGAATGAAGGTCTCGGGGGATTGAGGGCGAGTACTTAACATGCTTTTCATTTTTAGGTGAACTAACCCTGTAAGCTTGACTCAATACTGATTGTTCGGTCATAGAAGTTTATTTTGTGTTATGCAAAATGTGAAGTTAAATGTGACATTTTAGATTAATCTTGAATCAGATATTTATCACTGAATTTAATCGGATAATTATCACTGTAACTGCTTTAAACTTTCTGTAAATACAAATGTGATTTTCTTATTTGTTTTTAGCGGTCCAAGACTTTGCAAGTGAAATTGAATCACTGATACTCCATTTACTATTTACACCACATGTGGAAGATGATCTGTTGCTTTAAATAAATTATCTTTTGCAAAGTACTGCATTCTCTGCAATTAATAGAGTTATGTAAATATGTCAGGGCCGTAGCCAGTCTAGAAAAAAAACGGGGGTGGGGGGGAGGGGTTGGGTTAGGTGGGGGCGAATGGGGGGTCTTTTTTTCTAAAATTTTACCTATTTTAATTGTTTTGTCAAGTTGCTTACTAAGATCATAATGTGCACATTTTGTCAGTCCAAACACACCAAACATGTTATTTGTTTCATCTTTATGTGGAATTCACGTAAAAGTAGATATATTGCAAGATTTAATTATGCAATATGTTTTGATAATCAATATAACGATTAATATTTTATTGATAACACTGATTTGAACTTTGAGTGCTTTTTAAATATATTCAGACTGTATTAGTGGTTGTTCATCAATTCAGCACCACATGCTTGAATATTTAACAGGTGATTTATGTGATTTATGTTTATGAGGCTTTTTGTTCGCGAACACATGTTTTGTGCTTATAGTAAATCTGTTTTTAATATAATTTTGCACTTTATATGTGTTTGGCTGTAAAAGCGCACCCAGGTGTTTCCCTATACAGGCGCAGGTCAGATTTGCTCCAGGTCATAATTTATTTATTTACATTAATTTAGTCTAAAAAACAAATAATTAGACTGGTGTAGTTAGTTTCATCTGGAACGCTTGCCAAAACACCTTATGAAGTTGTCTGAGCGATCGGATTTATACCCAATCAGAATAAAACGAATGAAGTGACCAGTGTAAACAGCCTTAAAAACACAGACATGACGGGATTTGCGCTTTTTGCTGTGACAGCTGACGGAGGACGTTTGGTATTAAAGCCTTTATTGGACAGTAATTTTCAAAAAAAATTGTCAAAAGTAGAGAATAGGAGGTCACGGGACAAATCAATAATGCTCAAAATACAGGACATGCCAAATATTATGAAATGTATATTTTTTTGAATTACATAACGTACAAATTCTGGACCTTTTGGCTGAGGGGGGGTCGTTCAAACCACCTGAACACCTCCTGGCTACCAGCATCTACAGTTGAGGTCAGAATTATTAGTCCCCCTGTTTATTTTTTCTCCCATTTTCTGTTTAACAGAGAGAAGATTGTTTCAACACATTTCTAATCATAATAGTTTTAATAACTCATCTCTAATAACTGATTTAATTTATCTTTGTCATGATGACAGTAAATAATATTAGACTAGATATTCTTCAAGACACTTCTATACAGCTCAAAGTGACATTTAAAGGCTTAACTAGGTTAATTAGGGTAACTAGGCAGGTTATTGTATAATGATGGTTTGTTCTGTAGACAATATAGCTTAAAGGAGTTAATCATTTTGACCTTAAAATGGTGTTTAAAAATTAAAAACTGCTTTTATTCTAGCCGAAATAAAACAAGTCAGACTTTCTCCAGAAGAAAAAATATTATCAGACATACTGTGAAAATTTCCTTGCTCTCTTAAAAATAATTTGGGGAATAAAAAAACAAAAAAAAAAAAATCAAAGGGGGCGAATAATTCTGACTTCAACTGTATAAGCAACTTTTAAACAAACCTAATTATTTAAAACTATACCATATATCAGCATTTATTGTCAGACCAGATGTTAAATAACCAGTTACAATGAAAAATGTGTACAAATGATTAACTTAAAAAATGGTTAAGTTAATAAATAACGTTCGAGTGAGAGACGCACAGTGTTTGGTAAAGACACATCTGTACACTTAAAAGGAATAGTTAACTTTGCACACTGTATTTTTGACAAAAACAGGTTTTAGTGAGGTGTGAAGGCAGAGATGACTCAATTTCCCTGAAGCGAATGTAAATATTTGCACACTGCAGGACAAGGCGATTTTATCCAAGAAACGACAGCATGGAGAAAAACAGCAAAAGTCTTTCCATTTAGCATCACAGAAACTACTGAAGTGTACTTGTGAAGTATTAAAAACTTTATAGGCAAAGCGTCAACAAAAAGTGCATGACTCAAATACATACAGAACACATACACACACACACGCACACACACACACACACACACACACACACACACACACACACACACACACACACACACACACACGCACGCACACACACACACACACGCACACACAAATATATAATTATATACACATACAAACACACACACACACACACACACACACACACAAATTCATATGAAATGTGCAGGAAAATAAATTGAATAGAGTTGAAAGCAGAAGTGTACATACACTATAAAAAGGCACATAACCATATAAAAAGGTCAGATGTTAATACGACTAAACTTTTTCACTTTTAGGTAAGCGAGGGTTATCACGTGTTTCTGTTTTGCTTAATAGCAGAATAATGAGAGAAATATTTGTTAAGAAATTGTTATAACTTTTCTTGAAAGTCTAGTTTACATACAGTAAGATTATTCTGCCTCTGAAAAAGCTCAGATGATTGTGTCAAGGTTTTGGAAGTTTCTGATTGGCTAATTGACAACACTTGAGTTAACTGGAGGCACAACTGTAGCGTAGTATTTAAGGGAAAGCTCAAACACACTGCTTCCTTGTGTGACAACATGGAAAAATCAACAAGCCAGAATCAACAACAAAGCCAGATTACAATGTGCTATATTACACTGGGAAAAAGACATGTCTAGTAATTTTTTTTTGGAGACATGTCCTGTGGTCTGATGGAGCTAAGATTGAACTGTTTGGCCATAATGAGCAGTGTTACATTTATAGGACAAAGGGGAAAGCTTACAAGCCTAGGAACACCATCCCAACTGTGAAGTATGGGGGCGGCAGCATCATGTTGTGGGGCTGTTTTGCTGCAGGAGGGACTGGTCCACTTCACAGCATAGATGGCATCATGAAGACAGAACATTATGTAGAAATACTGAAGCAACATCTCAAGACAAATGGGTCTTCCAGACAGACCATGACCCTAAGCATACTGCCAAACTAGTTAAAATGTGCTTTAAGGACAACAGAGTGAATGTTTTGGAGTGGCCATCACAAAGCCCTGATCTCAATCCTATAGACAAAATGGGCTTGAAAAAAGCTTGTGCCAGCAAGACAGCCAACAAATCTGACTCAGTTACACCAATTCTGAGGAATGGGCCAAAATTCCTGTAAACTATTGTGAGAAGCTTGTGGAAGGAGACCCAAAACATTTGAGCAAAGTTACACAGTTTAAAAGCAAAGCTAAAAAAAAAAAACAAGGAAATGTGTGTAAACTATTGACTGTCTAGAAATTAATAAAACATTCTCCAAAAAAATGCACTCATTATTCTGGCATTTAGCAAATGTAAATCATTTAGGTAATCTCAACGGACCTAAAATAGTAAAAGTTTAATATGATTTACCACCAGACATTTTTTTAAAATGGTTATGTTCCTGTTTTTAGATTGTATGTTAACTTCTGGTTTCAACTGTACGTCTTGCTGTTCCCATGATAAAAGTGACGGCCTGTTTCCAGACATTAAAAAAAACACTGAGACATCACACTAATTCCAGCCAGTGGGTCAAAATATCGTGTTCATAAATCAGACTTCATTTCCTTGATGACATGTCAGAAATCACAAGCACAAAGATGTCCTTGCTGTGCAGAATATGACAGTCTCAATATGACCCTCATTTGTTGTGTTTTTAAAGTTAGCATAAACTCTCAGAGGAGGCTTTCGAGTTGATGGCGATAGTAGGCACGCTGGTTCTCGTCTTGTGAAACTCTACAGAATTGCACTTTGCTTTAACGTTTTTCTTAAAACAGTTAAACTTTTTGGGAGAGACAGTCTTTTCTTTATCAACTCTGCATCCGATGCTGTCTTCAGGTACCACCTCACGACAATCCTGGAGCACACAAGTGCCGTTTGCTTTTGTTTTTAAATGGTTCCATGGTATTTTCTGAGGACTCTGGGAATTTATCGCCAGTTCCCCAGCGTTCTGTGTATCATGATTAAGAGTACAAACTCCAGTCGTGTCAGGCGAAGAGCAGCGTTGAACATCTGGAAACTGGATGTGAGCAGGACGGTTCTGGCTCTCTGGTGGAGATGAACTGGGGACACATGCACTGATGTAGGACTCCGTCTCTGTTTGCTGTTGTGAAATGTGCATTGCATGCATACCACAGCCCCCACTGAAACATCGATGAGCAGCTGGCCTTGATATTTGGCTTGGTGTGCAATGCTGGAAGTGGCCACTGTTGGTAGGAGCATGGATCATATCCCGGTTTAGACACGCAGGTAAGTGATTGGACTGTTTAGTAGCACATTGGGTTTCTCGAGATTGGCCGCAAGGATGGCAAGCAGTTCTTTGTCGCTCCCGAATATATTGATGCATTGAGTTCTCACAGGTACACCTTGTATTGAAAGCGTACTGATGGAGATGTGAATGTTCTGTGGCTTGCACGCCATTTTCAAACTCATGTTTGGGTTCTTCATGGGATGCACACAAGGTTGCATCATCATGAAGAGAAGTGATGTTATTCTGCAGCTGCGTGCAGGCTTCTTGTTCCTCATCTGAGGCCTTTCCCTCATTTCTGACATTCGCCGCTAAGGGTTCAAGCTCATAGTGTTCATGCTTGGTTGTGTAGCAAGCACCAGCTTTACCTTGGTTATTCACAGTAGACTGGTTTTCAGATGTACGCTCTGCACACTGCAGCTTCTTTGGCAATGGAATTTGCCCACAAGTGCCTTGGGGTCCAAGCAGGCGGCACATGCATTGAAAGAAAAATGTGGCAAAGGCCCAGCTAATGCACATGATTAGCATGAGGAATGTGCCCAGTTGGGTATACGCCAGAACAGTGGACGGCATCATCATTGCACCAGCAACAAACGTAGTCAATGCTGCCATCGCTATAGCCGAGCCCATCCTGCTCAAGGAGAAAACCACCTTCCCCTCCCTGTCTGGTTCTGGAGCAAGGCGGTACGCCACTCCATAATGTACAGCAAAGTCCACAGAAAGCCCTACAGCAACTGATATGGTCACTGATTCCAGCACATTCAACTCCCAGCCCAAAAGCACCAGTGAGCCGACTGTAACAAATATAGTTCCGGCGATGGATATAATGGCGTAGAGGCTGATGATGATGTTCCAGGTGGTCAGGAGCATAACACTGAAGGCCACCACCACTGACAGTGCCATAGCAATTAAAGTCCCGTCGGATAAGCTGTCCTGTAGGTCGTAGAACTCCAGGTTGCTTACAAACCACCCATAGCTAAGTCCTTCAGGAGCATCTCTGAGCTCCTCCTGAATCCAAGTATCAACTTCCCTGTAAAACTGGTGCATCTTCTCGTAGGCCAGAGTAAAATGGTAGGTACTTTGAAACTCGAGTACGATAGCTCGAATGGTGTCATTTATGTCAAACCTTGGTCCTGGAGTCTTGCTGTCAAGGTGGTAGATGGTGCTTCGGTCGAGCTCCATAATCGCCCGTTTGATGCACAACTCAAAGACGTCTTGTCTGTAGGGGAACGTGGATTGGCTACAACAGGGATAAACAGAGGCTTCTTCGCAGTCTTGGTTTTCCATCCACTGCTTGAAAGTCTCCATGAAGCAGCTTGTGAAGTCTTGCTCCTCGGATTGGTAAACGAAGCTCTGGTTTCTGAGCTTCTGGCAGAAATTGAGAATCCATACTTGACTCGCTGGACTCGCAATGTTGAAGGTTGTGTCAAGAGTTAGCTTTCCCTTGTTTTTAGGGTTTAGCGGATCTCCGCTGTCAATCGGTGTAACCCCCCAAATGATTGTAATCGGCATGTGTAGGTCTTCCCCATGGTTGACCCGTTCAAACATGAAGAGTTTTTTGTACTCCGCATCATAGCGTTCAAAGGGATGCGAGGAGCGAAACACTTGAAATTCTGAGAGCTCCAAAGAGGGAAGTTTCATTTTGGGATTTACGCAAACCACATAAGCGCCACCTACTGTCAAAGCCAGGAACCACAAGAGCCACAAGTAGCGCAACTTGATCACGACACAAGGCAGAACTTTCTCGAAGAAAATCCTCGAGGCTTCAGAGATGCTAAAAAGACACTTGTTGACCACCTGGCACAGGCTTGTCCAAAACGTTGCAGCGCCCTGCGATTGATGGTTTTGTGTTCGTGAACATGTAAGAAGGTTAACCAGGTACCGCTCATGTAAGACCACCACAGCTGGCAACCAGGTAACCATCAGTATGTAGTTAACCAAGATAGCGGTTCCAGCATAGACACCGAAACATCGTATGGCAGTGATGTTGCTCACATAGTTGGCATAGAAGGCAGCAGCCGTTGTGAAGCTAGTGACAAACATTGAAAGCGCTGCATGCTGAAGTGTGATGCTCACCGTTTCAGAGAGCTCAGAATTAGGTTTGTCAAACTTTGTGTAATTCCAGACGTCGCAGAGCACAAATGCATCATCAGCCCCAATTCCTACTAGGATGATGAGCGCTGTTAGGTTCATGAAAGGGAAGAAATCAAAGTTGAAGACCACTCGATATAGGAAATAAGAAACGATGAGCGAACTGATGATCGCAAACATCGTCATAAGGGTGATGAACATGGATCTCGTGTAGACGCACATGACCACCAAGACGATGACAATAGCTATTGCGGGATACATGGTATCTGTCAGGAGGTAGTCCTGAAACAAACTGTGTTTGATGCCAAATTCTATTCCCGTTATAGTCGTGATCCCATCCGAAGAGTTACGGTTCTCAAAGTTGTCCAAGTAAATGTTCATCATGGTCTCTCCTTTCTCTGTAGGAGCAAAGAGCATGCTGTATTTGAGGTTTGGTGGGAGGTAGTCTGTGTTCTTTGGATTCAGAAAGTCTTTGTCCACCAAAAAGTGGAAAATCTGATACACAGCGTTGTATTTTGTACACTTCCGCGGCAGGTTGCCACACTTGAGGTCCTTTTTTCGGGTGGTCATGTCCCAGCATTCAGGACCGAGGGTACCGTTGTGGTAAAATTTAGCACAGGAGCGCAGGATATTCAGGGTGTGAGAAACGTCTCGCTCTGTGATCTTCTGGCAGGAAGATTTGTTTGTAAGGACGGCTATGTAGTTTCCGAGGGTCCAGCTGGGACAGCAGGAGGCAGCAGTGGTGCGCTGACACAGATCCAGATACTGGGGATGAGACCGAACCTGAAGAAACAGACATAAAGAGAGAAAGATTAAAGTTGTTTGCAATCTAAGCTTTAATGGCTTAATAGGTCAAATAGATCAAAGATCGGGCAAAGAGAATTTATTATAACACATTATAAATGTTAGAAATGTGTAGTTCCAGAGGGCTGCACAATATATCGTTTCAGCATCAATATGGCAATGCGTAAATCTGCAACAGTCACATTGTAGAATCTGCAATGTAGGGTCGTGATTATGGAGCCGCAGTTCAGAACATGACATTTTTTTTTACCTTTTATTGACAATTTTTTACCACAATTTATCATTTACATGTGTTTTAAGGCCTGTGGCTGTGTGAGCATACTTTTATTTATTTATTTATTTGACATGGACATCACAATTACACCGGACAACCAAATGCATTTGTTTAAGTGTTTTAGCAAACTTGCTAATTCTCAACACCTGTCCACAGGAGGCTTAATATTGACAAAATAGAAATATAATAAAACATACATAACATTACAATTCTTTACATAAAATTACTGCAGGCAAAAGCAAAGATGACATGATCCAACCAACTAACAGTAGACTATTTGTGCAAACACTGCTGTTTTGTTTTTAACCACTTTTTAAGAGCACTACTAAAAATATTTAGATTACTTTCTGATTTTAAGCTAACCGGTAAATCATTCCACAGTTTGGCTCCCTTTACAGAGAAGACGGATTGACCAAACGAGGTCTTACACTTTGGCACTAGACAGTCACCGTTAGCAGTGGCCCGTGTGACTCTGTGGGAGGTTTGATGCCGATTGATTAGCTTAGAAAACAGGATCGGAACATGATTATTTAAACATTTAAAAACCAATTTAAGATAACTAAATTGAATAAAACTATCAAAATTAAACAGGTTATGTTTACATAAAACATCACAATTATGCCATCGCATAGGCTTTAAGTCCATAAATTGAACTGCTTGTTTATATATTGAGTCATTAGGCTTCAATGTAGTTAAAGAGGCTTGTGACCAAGATGTAATGCAATACGTCAAGTGAGAGAATATCATTGTGTGCATGTATAATTTTGCAGTGTGATATGTTAAAAACCTTCTAATAAAACGAAAACAGTTTAGACTTGGCTTAACTTTCTTACTTAAATTTTTAACATGACTATCAAATTTTAAATTAATGTCCAGAATTATGCCAAGATACTTAAACTCATTTTACTCATTTTGAGATACTTAAACTCATATCAAGCAAGTTTAAAGCATTCAGTCACAGCAAATTGCATCATTTGAAACTTTAATAAAAAATATTTTATTAAACTATTTGATAACACCAATGGTCCGTTAGTTAATGCTAGTTAATGTATTTACGAAAACAAACCAGCAATTACTAATACATTTATTACATCTTTGTTAATGTTAGTTAACGTTATCTAAGCTAAATGACTTAAATTAATGTTAGCATTAGCTAATGCTAACGAGAACAACTTTGGATTTTAATAATGTAGTAAATGTTGAACTATGATTAATAAATTCTGTACAAGATTATTCATAATTAATGTTAGTACATACATTAACTACTGGACCATTATTTTTAAGTGTTACCAATTATTTATACAATGAAGCTAATGCAGAGCTATTTTATACATTGATTATTCAATTTCTGCACCTGAATTCTTACCAAAAAGAGCTATTTAAGTCATCTGGTGATCTTGTATTCATATCACTATATATATATATATATATATATATATATATATATATATATATATATATATATATATATATATATATATATATACAGGGTTCAACGCTAAGAATATTTTCTGCTGGTCGGATTGGACCAGTGGTTCAGATTTTTACTTGCCCTGCCAAAATTTTCACAGGCCCCGCACCAAAAAAATTATAATAAATTATAGCTATTCCTTAGACACATATTTTAAATAATGTGTCAAAAATAATTTCTGTGAATCTAGAATTTAAATATTTAAAAAATGTTAAAATATTTAGCTGTAAAATATAGCAGTATGGAAAATGTGCATGTATTTTATTGCAAAACAAAAGGTGGCCGACTTAAAAGTGACGGCAAACTATGCAAAACATCACTTTTTTTTCATGGTGTTGTACCCATGTAAATGTCTGTTTCCACAATGTTAGAAACAGATGTTTTCTTTTAGCCTCATGATTTGATGTGGCTGTTGTGTTGTTGTCTCTTCACTGTACTGGTTTTTACCAGGTTATAGAAAAAAATAACGGGCTCACAACATCCAATCAGATTAGAGGAGCTGAAAACCAATATGGTGTTTACGACTTCACAGAGAAGGTAACATCCAAAGACTTAAAAGAACAAATTATTTCTTGATTCTAAGACTGTAATTGCACGCATTTGACAAATTCTCAAAGGCAAATCAAAATGTAATGACATGGCAGCACTGGTCCGATCGGGCAAGTAACCATTCTGTCTACTGTCCCGAGCATCTCTCACGCTGGCCCCGGGCCATAGGGCAGTCCTTATTGTTGAGCCCTGATATATATATATATATATATATATATATATATATATATATATATATATATATATATATATATATATATATATATATATATTTATATCCAGTCTCATGCAGCCCTATTTAAATCCCATTGCAAAAACTGATGTAGTACTGAACTTCTTTGGCGTAGTTTAATTATTCAATTTGGCTGGGAGGTTAATAACACATTTTTCAAAGCACATATATTAATATCACTTTACATGAACATCAAATTTAATACTTTTACCAAAAAATTTAAAGTTTATAACACATGGTTACATAACAATAAAAAATACATCAATAACATGTTTTTAATGGATCCACATTTAAAAATAAGGACTTCTTTTAGACTTCTCCATATGAAAAGCATGGCCTCCCATTAAAAACAGGGCAATGTAAAAGTATATGTTTTATATTTATGGATGGTATTACAATACTGGCATTTAGGAGCAGCTTCTGCTTTAAGGAAAGGTCCATGAGTAAATCTAGTGTGTCTGAAACATCAGTAAAACAATCAAGCATGTGAAAATGGTATGATCATTTCTGTATATGTAAAGCAATACTACATACCCGCGTATTGTCGAAATTGCACATGGATTTAATGGCCTGTATATTCCACAAGTTCTTGCCCTCAGCAGAAGCAAATACGATCCGGGAATAGCTGTCACCTGGAGAGAGACAATGTTTAGTAAATAAAGCAGAAACCAGAATCCTTCCTCCACCGTCCACTAGATGGCAGATTTGATCAATATCAACACATCTCACTTCAATACAGTGTGCATTTCATACATTTCTGCTTCCTTTTGGATTCTATCAATAAGACTTTTGTTAATGCACACAAAACAAGTTTGAGTCATAAATATAAACACAAACAAACGTCACAGAAATCAAGCTCTATACAAAATGATTGTATATGTATGAATCTTTAATACAACATTTAAAATGAAGTTAATAAATATTCTTAATCCAGTCGTTAAAATGCTATTATTAATATACTATGTAATATTAAAATATAATAATAGTAAAGCAGTTAACTATGTATGTTTTCATCATCATAATTGTATAATATATATGTATAGTGATGATTACAATTATACTTGCACAAAGCATGGTTATTGATTTAACTTACAACGAAAATGCATCAACCACCATTTAAAAATTTAACTTTGTTTCGAAGTATTTTTTTTTTACAAGATAAATGAACACTTATAAATTAAACTGATAAAAAATGAGAGTAAATACATTTAGAAAAGACTTTCATATCAAATAAATGTAGTTTTGAAGTTGCATTAATCAAATAATCCTGTAAAAATGACATTTTGTTTGTAAAATATTTTATAAATACTTTATATACTCTACATTTTCTATTACGAAAACAAAATAAGCTTGACTCTAAGCTTCATAGGGTACAGTAAATTACATTTTTAATACACACATTAAAAATGAATAGATATTTGAATCTATATGATGTAATGTAATGTCCAGGCATCCACTTGGATGATGCGACGGCAGCCACAGGACAATGGTGTCAATGTTTTGGACAAGATGGGAATGATTGGGACGCCATGATGGGTAAGCCATCTCCATTCCATGAGAATTTGGCCAGGACAATGGGGTTACCTACTTTTTACCAGAAGTGTCATGGGATTTTTTATGAGCACAGAGAGTCGGGACCTCAGTTTACCATCTCATGTGAAAGGCAGTGCTCACTGAGCAGTATAGTGTCCCCTTCACTATACTGGGGCATTAGGACTCACACAGACCAGAGGTTGAGCCCCCCTCCCGGCCTCACTAACACCACTTCCAACAGCAACCTAGCTTTCCCATGTGGTCTCCCATAGTCATTATTGTATGTACTGACCTGGTACATCACAGAAGAAACTATCTTTGCTGAAGTCCCACTCCGCTTGTCTTTTCTTTCGATCGTAATGATCTTTGGACCACCGGTCATCTTGGTGACTGAAATACAGAAAAAGGAGCGTATTTAGAAATAAAATAGATGCATTTAACATGTTAACATGTTTTTTGTGTGTATTAAATGAATTAAATGAAAATTTGTTTTTTGAAATTTAAAGTCCACATTAGGGTTGGGCGATGTTGACCTATTTGGCATCGTATGATGTCTAATGTGAAACATCGCGATGGACGATGGCATCGTCGTCGTAGGCGGAGGTTGTTGTTAAATATCATTTAATTCATTAACGATTAATTAATTGTAGCCTACCGTTTTTACTACCTGACCCACATGGTCTTTGCTTCACCCATAACCAAACCATAAATAAACTTACACACAAATGACCCCCTGTCAACCACTTTATTTCTGAGGGACTCTGGCATGAACAGGCAGAGAGATCCGTGTCAGTATAATGGCTTTTCCCACAGCTGGTGGAGGAGACGAGAGTTCGTTTGGAGTTCACTTTAATTTGTATCGTGATTGATGATAACTTCCTTATTTTATTATTATTATGAGAAAAAAAAATAACAGGTAAAGATGCTCGGGCTTAATTGTTTTGGTCGCATATGCGCCTGAAATTTTATCTATGCGACCTGAATGAATGAATTTATATATTTAACAGGGACAGTGCACAAAGATTACATTAACCTCAAAGAGGAAAGATGCATTGTGCCAGGTTGTAGCAGGATTGCTAATTTGCACCTGCAGTCCCTGCACAGGTTCAAATTAAGACAATAAAATCCAATTAAAAAGTCAGTTTAAAACATTCAGGCATAATCACATATAAACTAAAACACTGACAACTCAAAAACATCTCACTCAGTGTGAACAAATTTGATTTGACACAAACCACCTCCAAATCAGGCGTGAAAACAGGCGTGTGATTATTTCTGTTGGGAGAGAATTCCATAGATTTGAGCCTTTATAAAATAAAAGAGGATTGACCAAAAGAGGTCTTGCGTCTAGGGACAATACATTCCCCTCTTACTATTGACCTTATTCTCCGCAGACGAGCGGGCGCTGCCATTTGAACCTTTTTGGCACGAGACTTCCGCTCTCATTCACTTCCATTCATTTATAGACAATAAAAACTGCTCGTTTCGCTTTTTGATGTTGCAAACTGATATTTCCTTGATATATTATTCTACTTGGTCTGTGTAGTCATGCAAACATTTGTTTGTAGAGCATGTAGTTTGACCATTTTCTGCCGTTTATTATTCCTAGTCATTTCTCCCATAGGCGACTGAAACGTTCTAAGACAATCGCGAAAACAGGCGCACTTCCGCATTTTAGAATAAGGTCAATAGAACGCGTCAAACGCAATGTTTTCTCTGATTTGAAATTTTTTAAAAATGTAACGACGGAGCAGAAAGATTGTGAATAATTTTAAAAACAAATACTGGAATATTTAATAGTATTATCAAAACTTAAGAAACTATGCTTTTTTAAGATGTTGCAGTGATGGTACAACCGAGGCTTTTTATCATGAATTTTAAGTGCTCTCTTGTATAATGGTTCCAACGGTGTTAAAGATGATTTACATGCCTGAGACCAGCTCGTTATACAGTACAACAAATGTGGAACAATCAAAGTATTAAAATATATACCAGAGGCCTCAAATGTCAGAGAATCTCTGATATATTTTAAATTTCTTCGATTAAATCTCAGTATGGTAGCAAGTTTTTTAATTTGAGTTTTTAAATTAAGGTTTGAGTCCAACATGATGCCTAAATATTTGAATTCAGTGATATTTTTTATACTTTGCCCATTTATAAAAATTTCCAAAACATTTCCAACTTTGCACCTATTTGAGAAAAACGCATGGATACCGTCTTTTCAACATTTAAGGTAAGATTTGATTTTTGCAACCATTTAAAAACATTTTGCATTTTATTTGTTAATTTAGTAGCAACTTCTGTTGGATTTTTTTTTGTTTGGATTGTGAACTTGCTGAAGTAAAAAAGCCTGCAATCCTTGCCCCGCATTTGTGCTTTTCTTATTGGCCCACTGCTCTAGAACAGAACGCGAATGATTGGCTGATATCAGTTGTCAATCACTCAGTCAATGCCTTCTGCTTTCAGATGGCAGGAGCTACAACCGCGAAAATGTGAAGCGCTGAAGATGACAGAATGAAAATAACGTTGACAGATTTAGTTTTAAAAAACACCTACAGTTACTAATAATGGCACATCTTATTAGTGATCATGTGCTGAATGTTAATCCATCATTTACACTTTTCCAAGAGTAGATAAAAGACTTCCAGTGGCTTCAAGTCCGCTATGAAAATAACTAAAGCCATTCACTGTAAAGTCTGTAGGACGGGGTTTGCAGGTAACAGCGTTTGCCACTGAATCTACACATTTTAAGCGTGAGAGGTGCTGTATAGTCCTTCATTTAATCCTCACGATGCTGTCAGCCGTGCAAGTGGCAGCTATGTGTAAAATTTAACACAGCTCATGAAAAGACCGTTATTGCTATTAAGATGACATGCAAATAATAAGATATATATTAATATAAATGTGGGGCGGGGCGATGGATCGCGAAGCCGGCTCAGCATCGTGAAGTTTGTCGACCATCGGCAGTGGACGATGGCATTGTTGATTGGCCCAACCCTAGTCCACATGAACCACAAGTTGAGAACACTTTTCTTCATATTGTGATGCAGTTCCTAGAGAAACGGAATATTAAATGAGCAAACAGTGGGCGTGGCTTGTTTTTTTCTACTGTGAGCTGATTGGATGTAGTAAAGTAGGCATGTCTTTCAGAACGATGGGGAAAGGGGTTTGGGCAAAGTTATTACAACAGCCTCCTCCTCCTCCTCCTCACCACTTCTGTTTGTTGTCAAAACTGACAGCTGGAGGGGTGTGGTTAGATATGGTAGCCACGCCCAACACATCAGATAGACCTAATCCGAGAATTTAACTAAAAACAAACAGGAAGTGCATTTTCAGATTTCAATTAAAGATTACAAGGACAAACTATTGTTTCTTTTCTTAATGGCATGCACAGATGAATTCTTCACCACAAAACGAACAATATGAGGTCACAAAATCAGTATGGTTAGTTTAGATTTCATTTGTACTTTAAGACATTTTAAGAACCTGCAAAGTTTTTTTTGTCTGTAAAATTAAGTACACTATGTTGGAAGTCCTACAGAAAAATCCTCAAAATCAAGTGACACAAAACCACATTCAAGCAAGTCTCAAGCTGCGTCCCAAATCGCATACTTATGCACTATTCTACGCCATTTTGTAGTATAAACAGTGTAAGTAGTGTGTTCACACTGAAAACTCTAATAATAATAAGTGCACTTTAATTACCCGGATGATGCACTCATTCAGCCGCTAAAATGAAGTGTGTAATGATGGACACTTCACGCACTCAACGACCGCAGGTTTGCTCACGCAGCGGAAGGGGCGGAGCTATCGGCGCACATGTTGAATAACTTTATTTATTTTGGATGGTGAAAGCAAAATTCTCCTACGGGAGTGATTATAGCGCCTCCCGATGGTGAATGCGGCAATACTCACGGCAGGTATTATTTGGTAGTTCATTTATTTCACTGATTTGGCGACCGTCAAACGTCATCAGGGAAACGGTTTGAATTTCCTCTTAGTAAAAAAACATGTGTTCCACTTGGGACGCCACTACATACGTATACTATCCTGTTGAGTGTGTAAGTGCATAAGTACATAGTGCATGAGTGCATAGTGTATAGTGTGCCATTTGGGACGCAGCTTGAATCTTGTTAAATTTTGACAGATTTAATGAAACTTTTCCTAATCATTAATTCCTGAGCACCACTTTAAACCCTGCTCACGTTGTTGTCATTATAGGTCTAGATTATTATCATTATTACTGACGGAGGGCAGGAAGGCTGCTTACAGCACTTCCTGTTTCTTAGACAGGAAGTGCCTTTAATCAGAAGGAAGATGCCTGTGCGCATGCAAATTCGTAAAGACAGACAGACAGACGCTCTGTAAAAAACATTGACACTGTAAAACATATCGGTAAATTAGCAGATTACATATTTTGTGATTCATTTTTTTATTTTTCCCTTATTTATATATAATTTTGAATTGCATTATGGGAGCTTGATCTTATACACTTATTTCTCTATATATTATTTTTTTCTTTACACCATTTAGGTGGAGGTGACAAACTGCAAGCTTTGGATGTTTATATCAGTTTTATATCTTCTAAAAATGTATTTTCTCACTGTGTAAGCCTAACCCCCTTAAATTTTCAATGTTTTTAAGATTGCAGTCATTTGCTAAAAGCATTTACGTTTATTTTTTCCTCATTAATGTACACACAGCAGCAAATACTGACAGAAAAAACACAGAATTGTGGACATTTCTGCATTTATTAAAAAAGAAAGACTGAAATATCACATGCTCCTCAGTATGCAGACCCTTTGCTGTGACACTCATCTATTTAACTGAGCTGCTGACCATTTCTTCTCTTCATCCTTGAGATAATTCTACACCTTCATCCGGCTTTGATTATACTGACTGGACTTGATAGGAAAGCCACACAGCTGTCTATATAAGAGCTTACAGCTCACAATGCATGTCAGAGCAAATTACAATCATGAGGTCAAAGGAACTGCCTGAAGAGCTCAGAGACAGAATTGTGGCGAGGCACAGATCTGGACAAGCTTACACAAACATTTCTGCTGAACTGAAGGTTCATAAGAGCACAGTGGCCTCCATAATCATTCAATAGAAGACGCTTGGGATGAGCAGAACCCTTTCTAGAGCGGGCCATCTGGCCAAACTGAGCTGTCGAAGATGAAGAGCCTTGGTGAAAGAGGTGAAGAAGAACTCAAAGATCACTGCAGCTGAGCTCCAGAGATGCAGTCGGGAGATGGGAGAAAGTTGTAGAAAGTCCACCATCACTGCAGGCCTCCACCAGTCAGGGCAGAGTGGGCCTGACAGAAGCCTCTCCTCAGTGCAAGACCCACAAAAGCCCGCCTGAAGGACTCCAAGATGGAGAGGAATAAGATTCTCTGGTCTGATGAGACCAAGATAAAACATTTTAGCCTAGATTCTAAGCTGTATGTGTGGAGAAAAGCAGGCACTGCTCATCACCTGTCCAATACAGCCCCAACAGTGAAGCATGGTGGAGGCAGCATCATGCTGTGGGGGTGTTTTTAGTTCAGGGACAAGATGACTTTTTGCAATCGAGGGAAAGATAAGCATGGCTCAGTACAGGGATATCCCAGACAAAAACCTTCTCCAGAGTGCTCAGGACCTCAGACTGGGCCGAAGGATTACCTTCCAACAAGACAATGACCCTAACCACACAGCTAAAATAACGATGAAGTGGCTTCACAACAACTCCAAGACTGTTCTTGAATGGCCCAGCCAGAACTCTGACTTAAACCCAATTAAGCATCTTTGGAAAGACCTAAAAATGGCTGACAGAGCTGAAGGGGATCTGCAAGGAGAAATAGAAGAGGATCCTCAATCCAGCTGGGAAAAACATGTTGCATCTTTCCCAAAAGACTCACGGCTGTACCAGATCAAGAGGGAGCTTCTGCTAAATACTGAGGACCATGTGATATTTCAGTCTTTCTTTTTTTTAAATTTATAAATCTGTAAAAATGTCAACAATTGTGTGTTGTTCTGTCAGTATGGGCTGCTGTGTGGACATTAATGAGGAAAAAATGAACTTTTTCACTCTTTGTTATATTGCAGCCATTAGCTAAAATCATTTAAGGGCTTCTTCTGACTTGCTGTACCCACTGTAGATATTCTCATAAGCAGGGCTTTACATTAACACCTGCCAACCCGCCAAATGCAGGTAGATTTCAGCTTTGGCGAGTTAGACAGCCGCTCACACTAGCCACTTTGGCAGGTTGGAAATAATGTTTACATTTTAGTTTTCTTAAAGCAGGGTTCGACAATAAGGATGGCCCAATATGCGTGCAAATGTGATCTTAGAATCGAGAAGCAGCACGACTGACAAAAATAACTGTGTTCGCGCGAGCAAAAGCAGGTGAATACATTATGAGAGGATGACTGATTTTACTTTTTTGACCATTTACTTGCGCGAAACAGTGTGTAGAGAAAGCACAACTACTGCAATCGGTTCTCTTCGAAATAGACTAGACAAAAAGCGATGCTCGTGTAAGCAGCAAACCTTTTGTAAGCAGCTTTCGCTTTGTAAGTCACTGCTTTCGTTTTAATTATTCTCAGGCACGTGATCATCCTTTCATTATCACTCGTGGTGTTTCACCTGCTTTCTTTTGCTTACAGTTATTTTGTTAATATAGTTTAATCATCATTCTTTGCAATAGCATTGCTTTAATATAAGATTAACTCTCCATTTATGTGTAGTAACCACTGATCTGGGACCTTTAGCCAGGACAGATTACTGTGCATATTTTAGATGCATGACAATAGATCTTTTTAAATGACAATAAAAAAAAAAAGAAAAGAAAAGTTTGTCGAATAAACGTGCATGTATACAGCTATATTTGCTTGATTTGATTTATTTAAAATGTGTGGCTAAGAAATAATTATATCTTTTTGGTGTGGTCAGAGATAAATTTGGCAAATCCTTAATTTTGAGCCCTAAAAAGGTCGTGTGAAATAAAAACCAATTGCAATGCGACACAACCCATTTGCTCATGCACAGTGAGCAAGCTCACACACAAACAGTGAAATAAATGAGGAGGCATGTGGACAACACAACAACTAAATCAAGTCATTTTAGCATGTCAAAGACACATTTATTAATACAAAATATATTTTCCGAGCAACAAAATTGTGGCTAGTGAAAATGGCAAGTGGCCAGTAATGTTGGAAATCTACTAGCCACAGTGGCCGGTGATCAAACAAGTTAATGTTAAGCCCTACTTATAAATAACAATACTGATACTAACATCTAAAAAAAACTTTATTTTTAGACCATATTTGCGAATAAAACATAAATACAGGTCATGTCCCCTAATGCAAAACCACACACACACACACAATCACACAGTGCAATCACTCCATAGTTACCATCAATACTATCCCTCATCTAGTGCTGTTCTGGATGAAACCCAAAAGGAAAATGCAGTTCTCAGATAAGAAGTGTTACCTTTTGGCCTGCTCGTCTGCGTATTTGAATGGATAGTTTGCCAGTGTTGCCTTGTAGCCGGTGTTTTTCACCATGTTGTTCCACGTAACCAGTCTCTGTCCTATTGCAGTGCCTCTCGGCTCAAACCCCTAATGCAGACACAAAAACAAAATTACGCAATGTTGCATCTTCGAAGCAATGTTTCCTTCCAAAGATGAGAAGTAAATTAACGCACAAAACTGCAATATAAATTTGTGAATGAAGCAGCATTTCTACCCAATGAGGCAAAGAATACATAATGGTCACTTCCTGATGAACTGGAGTAAATATCAGCCAGAGAAATTTAGTTTTAAAAGCCACTAATGCTGCATGATTAATCTAATTATTATCACGATTACGATATTCGTGGCCCGTGATAAATAATTAAATATCGTCGCGATTTTACAGTATAAAGACCCGTTATTTTTATGATGGGAGTTTACGGATTGTACTGCGTCACTGGCATGAGGTGACTGTGTCTAGATTGCAAGTGTTTGTTTTTTCCGAGGAATGGAGTGTTGATCAGGTAGCCTTTGCTCCTGTTCAGTCCAAACTTCCCAAGATAACACAACAAACCTCATTAACCACCTTAAAAGCCACCACCTAGGGCCCTATCATACACCCAGCGCAGTGTGGCGCAAGGCGCGGTGCAGTAGTCTTTTGGTAGTTTGAGCTTGGCGCAAGAGTCGTTTTGAGGCTACGCTGTTTAAATAGCAAATGCATTTGCGCTCAGATGTGCGCCCATAGGCGTTCTGCTCTAAAAAGGAAGGCGATCTGAGGCGCACTGCTGGCGCGTCGCTATTTTGAGAAAATATAATAGATTTTTCATTAGACCAAAACAAACCCGGTCTAAACTCCAGAGCAGAGTTGCGCCTCGCTTACACACTGCTTAATACACACAAGAGAGCAATAGGCAAATATCTTTACATATGAAAAAATGTAAATATTAAGGATATATATAGGATATAATAAGAATAGATATAAGATATAAATATAAAGGATTAAAATATTACAAAACATATTATTTTCTAGCCTACATAAATATGAAAAATCACTGCTTTTATGTCTTCTTCATCTCTGGAGGCTTTTTCAGTTCATTCATAATAATTTGCTTTTGTATAATGTGATTATTATTAGCAGCATTATTTATTATATCCATATTTATATTTGTTTTATTAAAAACAAGCTTAAATTTGCCCACCTGTCAGGTTTTAGACCATATGGGGCACAGCATGTGTTTTAGGATATCTCTCAGGTTGAGCACACTTCGTTATTGTTGATTATTTATTCGTTTGCTGGAAATTAGAACTGAATTTAGAAATAGTTTTGAAACAAATATTTGCGCTTAACAAACGCAATTATTTATTTATAGATTGATGTCTGTGCGTAAAGGTTTCCCTATCCAAGAGCGAATGTGAAAGTAGATCTTTTATCTCTCATTCTCACGCAGTAGATGCTCTGTTTAACAGTTTTCTGTTAAAAAACTGTTGACTGTTTGCTTGTGAAATGCTCAGTTTTTCCACTTAGACTTACTTTACGTCCTGTAAATAGCGAATGCGCTCTTGGCGTGACGCAGCTGGCTCTTAAAGGGAATGGGAGATGAGACTCTAATTGGATTATTCTCAAAACACACCTATAACTCATTAAGAAAATAAACTCAACCCTTTTAGACCATGCGCCACGCGCAAAGCGGATTTTCCCCTCCTTAAATTAGCAAAAATGCGTTCTGACACGCCCTGAAAGCGTTTGCGCCCTGCGCTTTGCGCTCTGCGCATGGACCGTCAAAATAGAGCCCAAAGTGTCTGTCATCAGTGTGTTAATGAGCTCAGAAGAATTCTACTTTGCATTTTTCTATGCATTACTAACATCACTAAACCAGACAACATTTGTTTTATAAGTTAACCACACATTCATGGAGATTCAGCAGTTTTTTCCAACACGTTTCCCAGTCATGTAGACAGAAGACACTGTGTCCAATTGTTTCAATTTGTAAAAGTAATTTTGGCCCTGTTCATGAAGGTATTTAAGTTCGTTTTCATCAATCTGATGCAACTTTTAATATTTACAAGAAAAACAAATGTAATTAAAAGTTTCAGATCAATTAAACTCACTTTATGAAAAGACTAGCATATTCTATGCATTAAATAATGAAATAGATAACTAATTTTCTTTATTTACGATTAGACCATGCACTTTATTCTGTTTTACAGTTTTAATATGTAGATATGCTTTTTTCAAATATATTTCGTTTAACAAATATTTTAGATATATTAGACGCAAATAAGGAGTAAAGGACTGGTGAGAGTGTTATGCAATTAAATAACGCACGCCAAATGAAAAGAACAAAACTTCCACATTTCATGATGTGTGTGTGTGTGTGTGTGTGTGTGTGTGTGTGTGTGTGCGGTCTTTTACTGACAGTCGCGTGTGTGGATCTTGTCGGAGAATTTGTCGAAAAGTCCTACATGACGGTAATAGTTTGATTGCGGTGTTTACTTCAGTAATGCCACTAATATCTGCATACTCCACATGTCTTAACTCCATTTCTGTTTAGTTCAGTTCTGACTTTAGTCGGATTGAGGTAATCAAAAATCCCTGTTTGGAGCTTATGTAGGCCCACAGTTCAACATTCATGTTTAACTGAATAAACAGTGAGTAAACACAAGCACATCTTATTGAACATCATTTATTTTCATCACCAATGATCACAGTAGAACAGTTTCTCAAGCAGTTTGTGATGCATTTTAGAAACAGGAGATGAGCCCCTGGTCTAATGCGCCATCTGGCTTAAGAAACCTGTTCTCAAAGGGCGTCACACACTAGATGCGCCGCTCGGCACCACGACGCGCACATTCCCATGCTAGTTAAAATTAAACTAATTAGATGGCACTCTGTGGTGCTGCAGAAATATAAACTGTGTCCTGAGTCGTGACTGGGCGTCGCCGCCAGCCGCCGCCAGTGTGTGTACCCTGATAGAAACCCCCGTTCAGAATTCTGAAATGATTGGCCTTGCATGGCGCTACACGTCGCCGAGCGGCACTTCTGGTGTATGACCCCCTCTACTTTTATTCATTATTTGGGTAGCACACATATTCTAAATGTCTTCGGCAGAATTCAACTGAGCCATTTTAATCTAGATTAATTCCAAGATTACAGTGAGATTCATCTATATCTATATAGATAGATATCTATCTATATATCTATATATCTATATAGATAGATATCTATCTATATATCTATATATATATATATATATATATATATATATATACACACACATATATATATATACATATACATATCTATATATACATATCTATATATATACACACACACACACACACACACACACACACACACACACACACACACACACACACACACACACACACACACACACACACACACACACACAATCAAAAACAATCTATAGCCCTCATTAAATATTTCAATATTTTCCAATGTTTCTGCATGAAATGTTTCATTAAAAAAAGTACAAGTGAAAACAACACTATTAGCCCTCCAGTGAAGTTATTTTTGAAAAAAAAAAATTGTCAAAGGCTCTGTCAACAGAGGAAGATTTGTCTTTTTGAAAAATTTCCAGGCATATATGTGGATGGGTTTTCCATCTTTACTTAGCCCACACGGAATCTCCGCGCGCAGAATTCCACAGAATTCTGCAGATGTTTAGCTCATTATCAATTCTGTTTATTTACTTCAGTAAATGTGTAAATCTGAATTTATTCAGTTTTTATTCAGTAATTTATTACTTTTTATTTAATATATTAAGGTTTTAGTTATGATACTCCGCTGGATACTCACAAAATAATTCCGCAAAAATCCGCAGATTTTTACCAAAATTCTTAGTAGAAATAGCAAAAAAACGCCCGCAGATTCCGTCTGGCCCTGCTTATAATCTGCATCTTAAAACTGAGTCAACATCCTTCAAAGGCTCCAGCAAACGCTGGTTCTACTCACCTGCAGTGGGTTTGAGAAGTCAGGCAGATCAGGAACGAGGATCCCGACCAGAGCACAAACCACAATGAGGACAGTGCAAATCCCCAACACCACCACCGGCCAATCAGCAATCAGCTCTGCATAACTGCCAATGACATCAGAACATACATCATTTGTATACACAAGTCCTTTTATACTACAGAGCTGTCCCGTTCTATTCAATTGAAGTTTATTTGTATAGTGCTTTTCACAATAATTATGGGTAATACCGTATACAGTGCTTGATTCTGATTGGCTGATAAGGACACTAAAGTGTGCTGTTGTTTTCAGATATGATTTGAGGCCTGAAATATAACATATATGCAGTGCTCAGTATAACAGAGTGCATGCCCTTTTAATGGATCTTAATCCATAATATTTCAATCCATTTCTCAGTAAATATAAACAATTTATTTTGGTGCATTAAAATAAGAGTTTAGTCACTGAACATCTTAGGAAATAGAAAGATGTTACATTCAAACAACTGCAACAGTTTGACTAAGGGTGCTTTCACACCTGCCTTGTTTAGTTCGATTGAATCACACTAGAGTTCGTTTCCCCTTTTGGTGCGGTTCCTATGGGCAGGTGAGAATGCAGCAATCGTACTCGAGTGCGCACCAAAAGCGGACCAAATAAGCGTATCGAGACCTGCTTGAAGAGTTGGTCTTGGTACGCTTTCAAACGAACCCTGGAGCGGTTCGTTTGTGGTGAGAATATGATCCGTACTAAAACAGGTCCAACCGCAAAAAGTACTGCGCCTTTTGGACTAATTCTGCTGCCGTAGGCCGATGCGCTGTGCATTATGGGATATGGAGGAAAAATATTTGTTGACATCGCTTTACCAACAGAGAGAGAGAGAGAGAGAGAGGGGAAAACATTACCTGATGGATCGTTGGTAATATTTCCGCAAGATGACCATGTTGCAGTTTAGCTAAATTAATTCACGCCTCCTCCTGAAGTGACGAGCGATGCATTAAACACTGTTTTCCAGCCGCGGCCGCGCTTCATTTTTGTAATGTATAGTTTGTCTAAAGCAGGGATACAATCAGCCAGCGCAGTCGTCCCTCCAGAGTAAAAGGTTTTGTTTACCTGCGGGAGTTCATTGGCATTTTCCCGCACGTGAATTCTGACCAATCAATAAGCAGTTTAGGAAATATGTTCAACAACATCTGGCCAATGAGAGATGTGGATTTTGTCAGATGACTGCATTTTGGTTCGTTTCAACTGGTTCGGACAAAAGCCAGCAGTGTGGTGTGAAAACGACCCAAAGACAGCAGAAATGTATCATTTATTACACTTGGTCCGGACCAAATGAAGCGAACCACAGATGTGAAAGCACACTAAATGTATTTTTTTATGTTTCTTTAAACTTTCCTGTTTATTTAGGATTTCTCCCTAACATTAATTTAGGTGTACCAATGTCTGGCCTGTTATCTTCAGTTTTGGGACTGGATTATTTTCAGGTTTGGTTTTGCTGCTGACTAATCTGATGTACATGCACCAATACATTATTGTAAAGCATCCTATAGAAAACTGGAATTGAAATGAGAGATCTGTGTAAGCATTAACACCAAGAACTGTATATTCAATTCAATTCATTTGTATTTCTATAGTGCTTTTACAACGTAGATTGTGTCAAAGCAACTTAACAGAACATTTTTAGTTGAGCATTTTTATTTGATGGGTGCCATAATATTTAGGGCCCTATCATACACCCGGCGCAATGTGGCGCATGGCGCGGCGCAATACTCTTTTGCTACTTTTAGCTCGGCGCAAGGGTCATTTTGAGGTGTTGCGCCGCGCTGTTTAAATAGCAAATGCATTTGCGCTCAAATGTGCGCCCATAGGCGTTCTGGTCTAAAAAAGCAGGCGTGTTTTGGCACGTTGCTATTTTGAGAAACTGTAAATAGTCTGATCTTTAGACCAGAACAAAGTCGGTCTATTGTCTGGCGCAAAGTGCGCCTGGCTTACACACTACACACAAGATGTAGAGCAATACGCAAATATCTTTACATATGAAAAAGATATAATATATTAAGGATACACACACACATATATATATATATATATATATATATATATATATATATATATATATATATATATATATATATATATATATATAAGGATATATACAGAATATAAATATAAATGATTAAAATATTACAAACCATATTAATTTCTAGCCTACATGAAGATTTAAAAACCACTGCCTTACTTTCTTCATCTCGGGAGGCTTTTTCAGTTCATTCAGTTTGCTTTTGTATAATGTTATTATTATTAGCAGTATTATTTATTATATCCATATTTATATTTGTTTTATTAAAAACAAGCTTAGATTTGTCCACCTGTCAGGTTTTGGACTATATGGGGCACAGCAGGTGTATTTGGAAATAACTCAGTATTTTGACCACACTTGGTCATTATTGTTCATTTATGGAAATTAGACAACCCAAGCTCATTCTGGAAACGTAGCCCCGCGGACGTTTTTGGAGACCGCGATTTACGTGGCCGGAGGTACGTATGGCCGCATTTAGTTTTTTTTGAGCGAACGCTGCGGGGCGGTGTGGCGCCGCTCCGCTCCTCCTCTTCGCGCTCGCCGGCCGACGGCTCACCTCCGAGTGGAGGGCTTTCCCGGAGGAGGAGCCGGCCGCGAGGACGACGACCGGGATCGAGTCCGGGGAACAGCGGTTCCAGAAATCAGGTAAGATGAAAAACGGAATCCAAAAAAAATAAGGGTGAGAATGCGGCGGGATCCGAAAACGCGGTCGAAATCGAAGACGAGGGCTTTTGCTTTTTTTTTTTGTTCTGGACAGCTTTTGCAAACCGTCGCTCGGGTTTAAGGAAGGAGGAGGAGGAGGAGGAGGAGGAAGAGGAGGGCGGCCGGGGCGGCCGATCCGGCGGGTTTTCGGGCGAGAACAGCGCGGGCGTGAACGGCGCGCGTTCCCGAGAGGTGCCCGAGACATGGAAAAGCGTGCACAGCGGCCTCTTGCCGATCCGCGAAAATAAAAACCGCTCGAATACGTAACTCCCGGGACGCATCTCGCGGTCCGCATAAACGTCCGCGGGGCTACGTTTCCACAATGAGCCTGGGTTGAAATTAGAACTGAATTTAGAAATAGTTTTGAAACAAATCTTTGCGCTTAACAAACGAAATTATTTATAGGCTAACTGATGTCTGTGCGTGAAGGTTTCCCAATCCACGAGAGCAAAAGTGAACTTACTTTACGTCAAAATGCGCTCTTGGCACGACGCAGCTGGCTCTTAAAGGGAATGGGAGATGAGGCTCTAATTGGTTTATTCTCAAAACACACCTATAACTCATTAAGAAAATAAACTCAACCCTTTTAGACCATGCGCCACGGCACAAAGCAGATTTTCCCGTCCTTAAATTATCAAAAATGAGTTCTGACACGCCCTGAAAGTGTTTGCGCCCTGCGTTTTGCGCTCTGCACATGAACCGCAAAATAGAGCCCTTAGTGTGTTAGTAAAAATAGCATCCATACTGCTAGTTACCTACATCAAGGTCATTTATGTATGTGGGTGCGTTCAGAAATAGAGAAAGATCAGGTAAATTATTTGTAATTTCGTCTTTAGTGGACGGGACGATAGCTCTACCAGGGTGATATCTCTGTGCAGATCTGCTATTTTCAGTTAAACAGCTTACATAGTAAGAGGTAGTGATCTGTTATCTGTCATCACTTTGTGGTATAATGTCTACATCAATGACCTCAATTCCATGAGACTAAATGTATGCTTTAAGCGATGGGTTGGACCAACAACGTTTTGCTTTACGCATCAATTCACCAGCATACAGTCATTCCTCCACAGTTTCATTTCTCCCCTCCAGTCTCACACAAAGCATACACTTACACACACACATCCATTGTCTGCGTGATTTGTCTGTCTGTTTGTCTGTCTAGGGGGTTCGGACTTTAGCGCGAGACCGTCCAAGCTGAGCAAAGGGATGGTGCGCGCTTATTACATCAGAAGCCGCGCCATGGTGGTTCGCGCGCTGAACGTCCGACCATACCATTTTGTGTTGTCTGTGGGTATAACCAGCGTTGGTGTTTGTCCTGTTTTACAGGAAAGAAAACGTGTTATGGTTGTTTGTGTTTAATGTTTCATGTATTAGGTGTCTGTTAAGCAGACATGAATTATTAAATGTTTAAAGCAATGCCATTTAAGGCGAATTTAAAGAAAGTATATTTTTTATTCCTCCTGGAGTATGGCGTGCGCCAATCGATGGGCGGAGTCTGGCGTATAAAGAGGGACGCCAGACTCCAGCTCAGGGTCAGTTTACCTGGCGAGCGAGCGTGCTGTGGCAGAGCCGTGAGCAGTTCTTTGAGTAAGTGGATACTAGCATACAGCGGTTACGTTTGACTTTTTTCCTTTGATTTGTTTTGTGTTATATATATTCGTCTTTATATTTGATTTGTTGATTTGATACTTTGTATTTTTGTATATATATTTTTGTACATTTTCTGGACTTTTATGGACACTGTATATATTTCTTGCACTGGACTTTATCCTCCACATTTTGTAAATAAATACCACCTTTTTTTTTACACTTCCAGGTCAGGCTATTGTGTTTTGGATTTTTGCCATTGTTTTTTTGGGGGGGGGGTTATTGTGGTGTTCAGGCCTCCCACGCCTCCTAGTGGGCCCACTCTTGGTTCACAACATCGCAGACTGTAAAAAATCTGTTAACGCAAGCCCTAATTAAAGGTGCAGTAGGTGATTGTCTTCAGAAGCATTTGTTGTTGTGCTGGTTGAAAGTCTCTTCACAGTCTAATAGTAATGATTACAGTAAATGATCTAAATGTGTTTATATGTATTTTTATATTCAGGGTAAAGCATAAAACTAAAAAATGTTCATCCAATTAAATAGAGTCCAATTAAATTAAATCATCCTTAATTCCAATAGGCAGGTCAGACTGTCTGTCAACAAATGTAGATTCCGACTTCTGCGCATCTGTTCACGCAGATCCGACATTAGCGCGTGCCCGTCAGTATCACAAACGCATGCGCGCGAGCGAGCTGCGGACCGCTCGCAGATGCCGAGTCGGAGCTGGAGGTGCCGAAGGACAGCCGAGCTCGGGCCAATTACTGTAAAGTCAGGCGCGGGTATAAATCGCCCTTAAAGCGGCCGCGCGGTCACGAGACAGACCGGGAGAAATCAAAAGCTGAATTGAAACTTTTGAAAATCCAGAATCAATATTGGAGTTACTTTAGCAGGCTGGAGGAAGGACGACACCATGGCTGAAGTATCACTGTTAGACAGGTCATGTTCTGTTTTTAAACTATTTTAGTCCGGCTAAGCTGATGTTAGATTGTGTTTTGTTATAAATGGCTTATATGCACAGACGTGTTGTTCAGCCACTGAAATCTACCAGTGAAAGATTGATGTGATTATTTTCAGTTTCATGAGGTCCTTTTACAGCATCGATGATGTGGATTTATATTTAGTTTAACAACAAAACACCAGTAAATAGCGCTATTCCGCCTAACCTGCTTTATTGAGCTGAAGTTGCTTTTATATTCACATTGGGCCATTTTTGAACAATGACAGCCTTCCTCTACTGTTTACCGCTAACGTTACTCTGAATATTCGCTCTGAAATAGCATGTAACTGGCGAATGACATGAACTAGTGGGTTGTCTGTCGGCTGTTGTGACGCGGTCTGCGCGCTCGCGATATCAAGGGGTGTGGCTTTGTGGCTTGAGACTTCCGCTCTCATTCACTTCCATTCATTTTTAGATGTTAAAAACTGCTTGTTTCGCTGCTTGATGTTGCAAACTGATATTTTCTTATTATATTATTCTACTTGGTCTGTATAGTCATGCAAACATTTGTTTGTAGAGCAAGTAGTTTGACCATTTTCTGCCGTTTATTATTCCTAGTCATTTCTCCCATAGGAGACTGAATCGGAAGTTCTAAAACAATCGCGAAAACAGGCGCACTTCCGCATTTTAGAATAAGGTCGATACAATGAGATAACATGTTTATTTTTCTGAATATCTATAAAAATTACATATAAATAGTCTGAAATGCAACATCTGATCAGTGGCTTTGGGAACTGTAGTATAAGCAGAATAACTCCAGACTGACTCCAGTCCATTGAATTATAAGAAAATAATGCATCTTGGACGGATCACTAGCTTGTGTGCATTCTTTTGCAAATAGTTAAACAGCCTGTCGGCAATTATTCCTTATATAAACTACATATTTTACACCTTACTATTTTTCATATATTACACATTTTCTCCGACATAGATTACATAGTTTTTAATGAAACAACCAGACAAAAGTCCTTTCTTCAGCTGTGTGTTCATCTGAACATAATGGCACACCTTGGAATTCTCATCAGCCAATCAGAATAAAGCACTTAACAGCACAGTATAACAAAATGTAATATAGTATAAGGCTTTTCATATAGTGCATTTTAAAGGGCACCTATTATGCCCCTTTATACAAGATGTAAAATAAGTCTCTGATGTCCCTAGACTAGAGTGTGTGTGTGTGTGTGTGTGTGTGTGTGTGTGTGTACGTATTTTTGTGACATATCAGGACACAAATCTGTATAATGACATGGGTATGACACGAGTATTACAAAAAGCAGGTGAAATATGAGGACATTGGTGACGTCCTCGTTTCTCAAAATGCTTATGAATCTTACAGAATGAGTTTAATCAGAGAGTAAAGCTGCACACAGTCTTCTGTGATGGTTGGGTTTAGGGGTGGGGTGGGGTGAGGGCAATAATATATGGTTTGGACAGTATAAAATGAATGGAAACCTATGTAATGTCCCCACTTTTCACAAAAACAAATGTGTGTGTGTGACTAATAATGATTTATAACTCTCTGAAACTGACCCTTTCAGGTTTTGATCATAATTGTGGTGTTTTGGTGACTGTCGCTTTAAATTCAAATGAAATTGTGCTGAGGGCGGAGCTACAAATGCCTGTGTGTAAGCATAGTGGCAGATTCAAAACAGGACTAACACCCAATATGCTAATGAGGGAGAGATGGTCACTAGTGGGCGGGGCTTTCCCCCTCTGATGACACATACAAAGTACAAAGGGACTGTTTTCATCAGGTCTGATTATAAAACGTAAATGAATACACTTTTACCATTTAAACTGGTTATATTAACACAACTGTATTTAAACCCCTTATAAAGTGATTTGTGGACCCCTTTAAAGTCAAATGAACAATCATCAACAGTTGAAATATACAATTTCATATCCATTTTTGACTTTATGCAAATTATTTAAATTATAAAACAATATTAAAAACTAGGAGTGAGCTTACCTTTTAGGAAACCGGAAAGGCCTCGGAGGACTGAAAGACACAAGCAAAAAAAAAATCAGGATTAGATGTAAGAGTCAAACAGCGGATGAAAGTACCTGTGTGGAGAGACATGTTTTTTCATGAAGGTGTATTTTAAGCGTGCGCCGTATGTGGTCTCGATATCTCAGTTCAAACACACATTCCTGCAGGGAAAATCGCAGCTGTCTCCAGGTTTCTTCATGCTGCTTTTTAAAATCAAAACCATTATGGATGTTCATATTATACGCTCACGCAGCACACACTCAACGCACAGCTGTTCGCAATCAGCCTTCATGCATGTGTGCCATATATAGGCGATCTGCACACTCACACAGGTGCAATACTGAATAGACATATTCAATAATTTAATACATTGTGATCATGATTAACATGTCAATATTGATACCCTGGGTACTTCAAAATAGAGTGAATAATTATTTATCATTGAAACTAGGGCTGCTTGATACTACGATATTATGAAAACAAGCAATATTGCTGTCGAGTATTGCAATATTGCAACGTTTACATAGAGAGAAGCTATTTTGTCTCTATGACGTGACCACAGCCATATCACCCTGCAGCCCAAGACTGGTTACACACTAAAGCTAAGCATGCCTGAGGCTCCTCAGTACCTGGATGGGAGACCACATGGGAAAACTAGGTTGCTGTTGGAAGTGGTGTTAGTGAGACCAGCAGGGGGCGCTCAACCTGTGGTCTGTGTGGGTCCTAATGCCCCAGTAAAGTGTTTATTGCATGAATATTGCAATCTGTGTACTAACTAGTCTTTACTAAATGAGCTGCATGCAAAAGACTCTAAATATAAGCAGTATTAATGATGCCAGTCTACACACACTCTCCATCTTATAGACACTATAGAGCAGGGGTCTCAAACTCGCGGCCCGCGGGCCATTTGCGGTCCTCAGTGCAATATTTTGTGGCCCGCGCCGACCGCTGTACTCTGACAGAATCAGCGGAGCGGGGAGAGAGAGCGCTTCCAGCTCCGCTGATTCTATCCGTACACAGCGGTCACTGGCATTCCCCGCCCGCCGTGTAAACAAAGGAGCGGGGATGCCGGTGACGTCACCACGCACCCCGCCCCTTTGTTAGACGCTGTGACGGGCGGGAAGAACCAAGGTAAGCTGTCCCCGCCCCTGCCTGCCACTCAGCTACATCCTGCATCTTACAGGGCTCGAAATTGCGACCATTTTGGTCGCATATGCGCCCGAAAATTAATCTATGCGACCTCATAATATATCTGGGAGCATTAGTGCGACTGCAGATAATGGTTGTAGTGCGACCTGTTTTGATTTTTTGTAAAAACGTGCTGAATCGCTCTTCTCTGCCGCTATATTGGTTCATATTAGCTGTCATTCACTCAAGGTATTCCGCTGTCAGATGACAGGAAAGGAGCTTTTATGACCACGGGAAATGCAAACGGCTGAAGAGTAAAAACTTAAAGCACACAGGTTTGCAAACCCCACCTAAAGTTGAGGTGCAGATGAAAGCGATCATGACACGTCACGTGGTGAATAATGATCCGCCAGCTGAGATCAATCGAGTACGCGCTTCTTGGAGAAGGCGCTCGAATCTCGATGCGTTGCATTTACTGCGTGTTCAGCGCAAATGTCCGCTAAAAGTCAAATCTAATACTGTACATATCATCGCCAAAGAAGCTCGCCTTTACTAAGTTTACACTGAAACTGCAGCTCATAACAAACAGCGGTATTCCGCCGGTGGTCATCGCAAGAATCTTGCGCTGCCTGCTCATAAATTGGATCGGCTGACTCGCCAGCTTTTCCACTAACACAGAAAAATGAAGATCATCTCAGACTGAACCTTTAAATTGACACAAACTGAAACCAAAACTTTTAAAGAGTGATAGAAGTGAGACTTTATTTACTTTCTTTTGTCTATTCTTTTTTGAGGTGTATATTATTTTTATTTTTTATTTAGTTACTGATGACTGCTTTGCAGCTTTCCTCATTGAATTGAATGATTTATTATAATCTTTTGTTTGTTTTGTAGCAGAAATATTATTTATTAAACTGACATGCATATAAAAACAGCAGTACCAAATAAATATTTCTTACTGCAATGCTTCATTTTTGTTTGATGCAAACTATACAATTATTTTTCATAAAGTAACAGACTTTTTATAGCAGATAACCTACATTCATGCACATTCAAGGCAGTATCATAATGAGAAATGGAATTCATTTTTTACTATTATTGTCATTTTCATCATCACTAATATTCTATAATTATTAGACATTCATTTTGGAATTATTGCACACAAATATCAATGTCTTCGCAGCATTAGTTAGATAGTTTTTTTCTGTTTTTTGTCAGTCCTATTGATGTTGTTTTAAAATACAATAAATCCCTTAAAAAGCAATTTGCAGCGGTGCTCAATCATTTTTGGTGGGTGCTCCTAAATTTTTTCTGGTGCTCCTAAATTTATTTTGGTGCTCTTAAATATTTGAAGTTGGGAGCACCGGTGCTACCAAGTAAAAAAGTTAATTTCGAGCCCTGTCTTATATATATTATAGGTAGCTACAGACTGGTACAGACTGATGTGACTGGAGTGGGGTGGAGGTGTTTTATTTATACATATATACGCCTTTTTTTTTGGTGAGGGAATGGAAGTTTTGAGTGAGTTCCCCCACTTTTTTCCCTAGGACTAGGCCTTTTGGGAGCACATATTTGTGTGAGAAGTTTTTCTCCACCTTGAACTTCAATAAGTCAAAGTACAGGTCTAGACTTAATGATGATCATCTTCAAGCCATACTGAGGGTCTCAACTGCTTCCGCTCTAAAGCCAAATGTGGTTCAGATTTGTGAGAAGAAGTGCTGTCAAGTCTCTGGCAGTAAGGAGTAGGCAAAAGATGCCATGTTCAGAAGAACTGTTCATAATCTTCACTCAATGTTCTATTAATGTTCAGGACACTTCATCTTCAGAAGAAATAATTAAAACTGTTAATAATGGCATTTGAGGACTTTTTTTTTGTGAAATCCCTTATGCGGCCCAGCCTCACCCAGACTTTGCCTCCTGCGGCCCCCAGGTAAATTGAGTTTGAGACCCCTGCTATAGAGGGAACACTGCAATCTGTGTACTAACTAGTCTTCACTAAATGAGCTGCAGCTGAAGACTCTAAATATAAGCAGTAATAATGACGCTAGTCTACACAAACTCTCCATCTTATAGACACTATTGAGGGAATATAGCAATCTGTGTACTAACTAGTCTTCACTAAATGAGCTGCATGCTGTAAACACTAAATATAAGCAGTAATAATGACGCTAGTCTACACAAACTCTCCATCTTATAGATACTATAGAGGGAACACTGCAATCTGTGTACTAACTAGTCTTCACTAAATGAGCTGCATGCTGTAAACACTAAATATAAGCAGTAATAATGACGCTAGTCTACACACACTCTCCATCTTATAGACACTATAGAGGGAACACTGCAATCTGTGTACTAACTAGTCTTCACTAAATGAGCTGCAGCTGAAGACTCTAAATATAAGCAGTAATAATGACGCTAGTCTACACAAACTCTCCATCTTATAGACACTATTGAGGGAATATAGCAATCTGTGTACTAACTAGTCTTCACTAAATGAGCTGCATGCTGTAAACACTAAATATAAGCAGTAATAATGACGCTAGTCTACACAAACTCTCCATCTTATAGATACTATAGAGGGAACACTGCAATCTGTGTACTAACTAGTCTTCACTAAATGAGCTGCAGCTGAAGACTCTAAATATAAGCAGTAATAATGACGCTAGTCTACACACACTCTCCATCTTATATACACTATTGAGGGAATATAGCAATCTGTGTACTAACTAGTCTTCACTAAATGAGCTGCAGCTGTAAACACTAAATATAAGCAGTAATAATGACGCTAGTCTACACACACTCTCCATCTTATAGACACTATTGAGGGAACACTGCAATCTGTGTACTAACTAGTCTTCACTAAATGAGCTGCAGCTGAAGACTCTAAATATAAGCAGTAATAATGACGCTAGTCTACACACACTCTCCATCTTATAGACACTATTGAGGGAATATAGCAATCTGTGTACTAACTAGTCTTCACTAAATGAGCTGCAGCTGAAGACTCTAAATATAAGCAGTAATAATGACGCTAGTCTACACACACTCTCCATCTTATAGACACTATTGAGGGAATATAGCAATCTGTGTACTAACTAGTCTTCACTAAACGAGCTGCAGCTGAAGACTCTAAATACAAGCAGTAATAATGACGCTAGTCTACACAAACTCTCCATCTTAAAGACACTATTAAGGGAACACTGCAATCTGTGTACTAACTAGTCTTCACTAAATGAGCTGCAGCTGAAGACTCTAAATATAAGCAGTAATAATGACGCTAGTCTACACACACTCTCCATCTTATAGACACTATTGCACAGTGATGGGAGCAGGAGGTCACGGGGCCAAGAGGTGGCTGTAATTTTCCTCCTCGTCGTCGTCTTAAAAGGGAATCCATGGAATGCTATAATTAGTGGTTGCCATGGCGCTGGGAGGCACAGATGAACAAAAGCCATTGGCAAGAATTTTTCACCACAGGGCGACTTCTAGAGAGGCCGTAAATCCCTTTGAAAGTTCAGCGGACACGTTAATACAACAACCAGATGTTGCAACCACGCACACACATTGAGGAGGCATCTGCATAAGGTGAGTCCCATTATACGAGATGCACGTCCTTCTGCAATCAAGAGAAAAGTGCATAATCAAATAACCAAACCCAAAAGTAAATAACGAGGAACAGATTTCCTGCGCTTCCTGTGCAAAGGCAGCGAGGACGGGAAGGGAGGTGGGGGGGGAAAGGCAATGCAATGATTTATAAAGTGCGCTATCAGCGAACACTCCATGTTTGGGAATCTGGAATTCAGGGGCGTGAATGAGAGATGGTCCAAAGTGGAATAACAGTTATGAGATATCGGGATGGATTGTTCCACTGGAGTGCAACA